GTTTATACAAGTTATCGCACTGTTACTTAATTTGTACCGAATTGTAAAGAGAGAGAGAAAAACGAAAATTATGGGAAACGAGATTAGACGTCGCTCCGGTTACTGAATGAATTTGTAAACAAGTGGGTGGCCATTTTTATGTTCATCCTGACACGAGATTAGGGTCCACACACATTTCCCATTCATGCTGGAAATTGTTCTGCTGATGAGGCAATCTGATCTGAGCATCTTAGTATTTATTCCCAACAAACAACTCGCTTCGTTGAAAAGGTATTAAGCTTGGATGTGTTTTTCTGCAGCAACATGCTAAACAAGTCAATTCCATAGAAAATCTGTAAACCTCAGGTATTTTCTTCTCGTTCATTTCGGATGCGCAATATACACGAAATCCACAACTATTCCTATAAACTTTTAATAAACTATTGCTTCCGCATTCAGTTCAATCTAATTCCTATACTATACTTATTGATACACGCTTTAATTGCGCAATCAATTCATTAATGGAACAATGTCATTTCTATCATCCAATTAATAATAAAATGCGTATTACTTATACTGTAATGATTTTCATGCATAAAATTCTCAATTTGTTAACGAAGCATTATATTTTACTACACTTCATATTGATGATACAAGCTTCAATATTGCAAAATCAATGATTTTATCAAAGGACGTCATTTGTATCATCCAATTAATTTGTTTTGCGTATTACATGTATTTATACACTAATTATTAATTTCGTAACAAAACAATTTATTTTAATATCCAATTTTCATGTATAACATTCTTACTATTTTTTTTTATAAAAAAAAATGTATATTTCAATCAAGAGGAGACAAATAGGAATAACAATGGACCATTAACTGAAGATAACGAATCTGTAATGCGAACAATGCAAGGCGTCGTAGGAATAGCTGAAACGTCAATCAATACAAACGAAACGTGAAGTTCTACACTGGAACACAAAGATAATATGAAAAGAAGTGCGCATCGGTGATCTAGAATGATTCCAGTCGAAATAAAACTACTACAAACGTAATACAACGGTCGGGTAGATCAAGATAATAAAATTGGAGAAACGAAGAAAAAAAAAGTGAGCTAAATATATATAAGAGAACTGGTTGTAAACCCCGAGAAGTATCGATAAGTAGTTATAAATGTTCTTGTAACATCGGCGGAAATAGTAAAAGTAACAACTTAATCTATTTTATTGCCAATCGTGGGTAGAGTATACCTGAGATTCCCAACCTTTTTTTATCAACTGTAGTTTCCTTTAACGGGGTGACGATTTCGTCACGAGCTAATGCTAATCAAGAATGTATAGAAGATGATGAATCTGTACAATTTCGAAGTCAGTATATAAATAACAAACAATTTAACATGAAAATGAAGAAGCACAACAACGCCACAAACGATGATTACAGAACTTTCTGAAGTCGGCCTCGCTGCAAGGGGGAAGCGTTTGGATTAGGTAATACGAAACCCAAGTAAACACAATTTCTCATCTCTTGATCATCAAAATAATGTTTCTAATAAAACATGCACGATGTTTATGCGGCTTCGGTTGAGATCGTAATTATGGATGAAGAACCATTGCGATGGATCTCACATCAAAGGTGATGCGATGCTTCTTACACTAGCAACAATAAGCTCCTGATTATATAATAATTTCGTATACCCTGGTAAACTTTGCGAAAAACAAATATAAGATGTCTATTTTTTTTGTGATACTATTTTCCTTGTATATTAATATTGATGTTCTCTCACATTTTAATGAGTGAATTAATTGTTGAATAAAAATTTAATCAAGATTTTTTTTTTGAAAATGTAGTAGTAATTAATGATAATAGATGTGAAAAGCAAATTATCGAATTATTCATACAGCGGCAACAAAAACTGGTAATCACAGTTAAATACACATTAACTATATCTCTTGTAGTAATCGGTTTCTTTATGAATGAATTCAAGGAAGAATTATTTGAATGTATTAGCCTTTAACATTCGGTTGAAAGCATTTTGTGTCAATTCCGGCGACTTCGTGACTAACGTAAACGGACATAGGATAATTCGGAATTCGAGACAAATTCTTCGATGCTCAAAGATAAATTATTCTATTTATGTAGTAGAAACCTAATAGTTTAAAATATGTCGATTTCTTATTGAATTCCTGAATGAAATTTGCAAAATTTTATAACTGTTTCTTAAAGAATCATCAAATACGAATACCTTCAGATCATCAAAGTAAAATATGCACGCATGACGAAACCAATCGATGACCGGTACGCTTTTCAAATAATCAACATGTAAATAAATTACTATAAATTATTATTTAATGCTTGCGTAAGCTATAGAACTGCATTGACAGTCGGTGTCCAAAGAAGAGGAAAATTGTGAACTTCCTAAAATTTTAAATCAAATTTGTCACGATAAAAGATATCAAATTGTTAGATTTTAACCAGGTGCATTACCTTATTTAGTAGTACTAAATATGTACAAGCTTCAAATAAAAAAAATAGTGAAAGATGGAATAAATGTTTATTAACTTCAATTAAATATAGTAATTGTATACTTGCAGTACAATCAATTTATAACACATATAACTAATTATAATTAACACTTAATTGGGATTCTGTAAGCACTAACGTCCACCTTAATTAATTATTAGATATAGAAATGAATGAGTTAATTAAATAACAATAGATTTACAACACAATGTTTCATTGAGAATTGAGCGATTAAAGCCCACAATATAATCAATCATAAATGATTTGCAAAATTCAGGTATTAAAATTTACGTTCAATTAAGAATGTATTCATCCCAGGATTATAAAAGTTTCACGTTATTTTTCCCAAATAAAATAACAAAACAAGAATTGTAGCAACAATTGAAATCAAATATTATTGAATTTTATATATCAATGACTTTTTTTTCAAAAACTATGAACATGAATGAAGTAGTATTAGATTTCCATCTAAACATATTAGATAATTGTGACAGAACGAGGTCAAGTATTGATTTCCACTTGTCTCGTCAGCATTGACCTCTTGTAAACATATATGACAATCTTCAGCTTAAATTAGATTAAATATAATTGATTTTCTCGATGCATTCTTCAGAAACGTTTACTATGAACTTCTAATCTTGTTAATAAACCATCTAATTTAATTTAGATTCGTCGACATTAATTAGTTCCTATTTTGAAATTAGTGATATCACGAAGTATATCTAATCCTATTGTTGCGCATTCAAACATGAAAATAATTAAATAAATAAAATGACCCTACAACATCTAAATAGACGTAATTATATTAATTACAAATCTTGCAAACATTTTACATGTCTCTATATTATTAAATTATATAATAATGTTCAGTACAAACAAGACAATTATAGTGGATATAAATACGATATTAATTGCTGGAACATCGGATTATTCCCTGCGAAAACTCATGTGCAATTTTGTGCTTAGAATATACAGTATTAACGATATACTTCAACAGAAATTAGGTCAAGTATAAAGATAGAAATAATATGTTTTGTTTCCTAGTATTGTTATTAGTTCAATGATAATGTAATAGTATTAACATCTTTTTTTAATCCAAAGCATTAATATTTTCATTGACATGCTCATTATTATACTGTGTTTCAGAACATAGTATTGCAGTTATGTGCATCTTCTATCAACTACAAACAAAATATTATTTTATGAAATTTTAATCTTCAGTATTAGCTAATACCTACTAAAATAATCGATTCATTAACATTATGCGTTTATATTCTGACAATAACATTGTTTACTGCTCAATAATAAACAAAGTTGTATCATAATATTAATGCCAGTATCTGTAGACTTGTTGTCTATAAACAGATTTAATATTATATTTATATCTAACATTGTTCTGCATTCAAGGATGCATATTAATAAAGCTTGTATCGTGGCTAAACAAAGTTTTAATATACTGAAACATAAATATTAACGTAATTTTTCAGCATGAATTAGGTCAAGTATAATAATATGCCATTGAGATCCAGAAATGTCTCCAGTACAACATTTCTTTCAAACATTGTTGTGCGTTCAAGGATGGACATTGTTAATAAAGCCTGTATCAAAATTCAAAATCAATAAAGTTTGCATCAAGGTTAAACGAAATAATATAACAGGAAGCATAACGAATGGAAAACTTCAACCCCCGGTCCATCCCAAATATGAATAACAGTGGTTATACGAGACGTAAAGAAATGAAATGGATTTCGCAAATCTGGGGAGAGAGGAGGGAAATGAAAGAAACCCCAGTAGACAAGCATTTAGATTGTACCCTTTCCTTTAAGGGAGTCCAGGCATGTTTGGGACTTGCAATAGTCGCACGTGGTCCGGAACCACGCCTCATAGCGTACTACGAATTCTAAAGACTGAAGTGGGGAAGAGCAGTTGCTATGATGTTATGTTATGACGGCGTCGGCGGCGACGGTGGTGGCATAGAATCAATAGCAAATGCACCCAATGTGGTGCCGGCGACTGCCCACCCCTTTCCCGATTAGATGCTGCCGGAGCTGGCAGGCATCCACCACGTGGGCGCCAAAACAATAGCACCGTACAGAGGGTGAATGGGAACTCCCGCTCCAGACGCAGAGCAATAAGACAAGAGATACAGCTCCATCTCTGTCGCGCACATGCCACAGGCATCGAGGCCGGCTTTCCCGCCTTGGTGAAGGCAACGAGAAACGCACATTTTTCATCTATCAATTTAAATTCCAGGTAGTTCATTTCTCTTATGCTTTATTAATTTTACATGCTCGCCGCCAGAAGGTCATGCCGCTTATTCAAGTTTCGTTCTTGTTCTTTCGCTGATTGAGGTGGGGTATATATATATATATACATATCTACCCATATAAATATATATGTATATCTTTATATAAGTATATATCTTTTCATCTTGTATTTAGGGTAGAGCAGTGATAGGTGGTAATACCAGCTAGCAAGTATCTTTCGCATCTTTACCTGTGCCTCCTCCGAATCGGTCTTTCGTTCCTATCTGGAAGCGTGTTCTGTAGATACTTCGAGCGTGCCAGAGGTGGTGACTTCTTCTCGGGGCATGCGGCAAGAACAGTACATGTCTTAGAGCGAGGCCGTCATTGATTCGGTAACGAACACGAGTTATATATATTGGCGCAGCGGATCGGATCTCGTCAGCGGGCCCCGCACAGAACACAGAATAACACTAACAACGCAGTAGTTGATGCAGAAGTGTCCACCATGCTGATGAGCGTCGACCGAACTGTTTTTGTCTGCTACGTTGCCATAAATATATACATATTCATCTACATACACGCATGTATATAGGTAGAGGTGTATGTATGGATGGATATACTCTCACTCGCTGTTTCTGTCCCTCTTCTTTCTTCGCTGTCTCCCTCGCACTCTCACAAAACTATGTATCTATATATACTGTATATATAGATATATATGTGTGTGTATATATATATATCCACTCTAGGACTACTGCTCTCTCAAGAAAACAACTGTGACTTAGTGATTTGTTTGAAGCTAGGAACTGACTGGCCAGAATCTAGACGTGCAACATCTTATCGGTCACGCGTTTGCGCGCTTGCCGGCCGACTTGCCGGAACTGTCGGACTATCGCCGAAAAGCGCGACTACTGCCAGTAACTGCCAGAGTCCCACGAGAACCACCTTCGAAGTCACCTTCGCATTTTCCCCATTGCCTTGCAACCATTCCTAACCATCGTGCAACGGCACCTCTTGGCAACCCAGCCTTTATTTATGAGCTTGCGCGCACCTCTCGCGGTTTCCCACTTTCTGACGGATCCCTTGACCCACTAAAATATAAATTACGATCCCGAATTTGTCCTCTCCCAAAAGCACATAATCCAGCACGAGCAGGCGTCTTCCTCCCGACCACTCCGATTCGCCGCTTCCTCCCTTCGTATACACACGCACACTCCCACCGTGGGCAGCGACAACGAAGTCAAACCCTCTTATCGAAAAACAAAGTTTTAAAACGTAAAAAACAGAAAAACAATGATAATTATTATTGTATTTGTTTTTTTTTATAACCTTTAATCCAATACTGATTTCTACAAGCATAGTATTTATGCTAAAGAGATTAACAGACCTGGCGCCATCTCTCGGTTAGGATTTTCAGAACGCGACAATTTGGCGCCAACCTAGAAGATTCTTCGCAAAACAACCGATTCAACCAATCACGTGTGGTCCATTCAAGCACCCTTAACGTTGTATCCAAATGGTACAGGTTTATCAAACATCTCAGCATCTTGATAATGGGTGGCAGCACTGAACGTCAACAGTAACCCGTCTGTTTATCTCCCCAAATAGATAATCCTCCATGGCGAGATTAGTGGCGTCTGCCTACTCCAACCGATATTTCGTTAACCGCATTCCGGTTTCATTCACTATTACCATTACCTATATAGCTGTGAATTTATATGCAAAACCGTAATTTTCTTAACATTCTCCTTATTTTTTTTCAATTTTTATTACACGAAATGGCCTTATATGTTAATACAAATTAGCACATTTATTACCAATAAATCATTAGCTATTAAATATTCATTTAATATAAAAAAATATTCCTTGTTGCAAGAAATCAATATTATATTTCTTAAATAATACAGTATGTTTCTAAATTTAACTTTCCTTCTACATTGATTTAGCGATTTTACTTTTGTTTCTGTTTGTAACCTAATTTAATTAAGCTTAGTCCCTTGAGAACAATGTCTTGTTATAGTAACAAATTAAAACTAATTATATTATCTTAATAAGTTATTTTTAAACGTTTATTGGATTCACGTTGAAAGGATTTTCAATAACGTTTTTCATATTAATGTTCTATTGGGTTAAAAATACCATGTTTATTTTGGTAAAATGTAACATTTTTGTTCACACCTATAATCTTTTCTTGTGTAAATGAGCAAAAATATTTAAAACAATTGTAATTCATAATTATAAAATATAAACAAAAATAAGTAAATTGTTAATGAAATATTTGTTTACTAGTTAAAATGTAAAAATAAACTACTTATAATATGAAGAATTTTATTTACGTAGGTTGAGAATTATAACAATTTCTCACATGATAAATGTAATAACCAGAAGGATGCTGACCGCCTACATAATAATTATTTTCTAAAACATCTCATATGTCAAAAATAAAAGAGTAAACATCTACAAAAAAAAATTTTTTTTGGTATGTACATTTGGTATGTACATATATTCATAGCAAAATATAATTATGAAACATATTTATTTTATTTGTTTACTTTACTTACCTATTCTCAAGTAGTTAAAGCAAACGTAGAATGAAATAAATCTATATTATTTGAATTCTGAACGTATAAAAATGTAGGAATAAAAAAGATCCAAACATCCAGCGAAACAAAATACTGTTCATATTTACAAAAAAACAAGCATTCAGATATAAAATATATTGGAACAAAAATAGAATACAAATAATTCTTATCATACGAGAAGAAAAAATGACCTACGACCAGAACCCGAAGCAGTTTGAGCCATAACAGAATACTTCCGGAAGATATTAAAATTGAATAAGAAAAAAAAAATATAATTTAGATATTAGGAAAATTTTGAATCCATATTTATAATAGTTTACTTAAAGAAGTATATTTTTATGATAACTTGTCATAAATCAAAATGATTATTTATAATATTCGTGTAATAAGTAATAAGGATATCTAAATATGTTGTCTTGATTCAATGTTGATCGATCCGTAATTTTCGATCCGTAATTTGCGGTTGTTCAATTAGCAAAGATTTACCATTTCTCTACCTTAATCACGCAATCATCCGACGCCTTCGTACTGCGTATCCGGCAATTCAGAAGACGTGGCAAATTGGCTCATCAAAACATTAAAAATAGAATTAACTGTGCGGACGATAAAACAGCAAATGCATTTTCGAACAAGAATCCATTAACTTGAAGAATACGTTGTTAACGCCCAAATTACGGATAATAAATGTCAGATGATTACGTGCATCACTTCAAATGCATTGACTATTTATGATCAATTCCGTTTACTTAACTATCGTTTTTTTTATTGGTTGTAATTATGATTCGGTCAAGCTTTGTTGCATGGATGAAATAAACTACAAAAATATATTATTTCTAGTGTATTTAACCTGAAGAGCTCAGTATTAGGTAATGAGGTGAGGGAACGCAGGCCTCCATTTTGCTTGCTACGTTCGCGATATTGTTTATATTAATTGATTCCGAATGGGAGTGGCTCGAGGTGTTGCAGATTTGGCCAATGGAACGCACTTTACATATCGCACATAGATAAGACGCAAAATGGAAGCCAGCGCTGATTAAATCTAAGTTGCATTTCTTTATACTCCGATCTTTATTTATTCAGACGAGTGCGTAGGCCGCATAATTGGAGATGCCGCATCTGTTCTTGTGTCGTTTTAGTCGCATGTAACCATTCTCTCCCCAATGGCTTCCCCACCAGTTCTTCAATATCCACGCATCTTTGGTATAGCCCACCAAAAGCATAGCGTGGTTCACGGTGCTGGAAGAGCATGCGTCATCATCGTAAACGCCTTTGCTGAAATACAAATTTGCAATACATCGCCAATTCATTATAGGTTATAATACTTACTGGTACAACTGAAACGTGTGAGGACTCGCGTTTATACTAGCCGCAATTGGTCCGATTTTAGCTAAGGCTATCTCTAAAGCCTTCTCATCCCTTGCTGGTAAAATAGCCCAAGAGCTAACATTCACCATCGTCTTATCCTTATTAAAATTGCATTTCTTTTGCTACAACAAGAAGAAACAACGTATTAACTTAAAGCTAATGTTAAATTTAAACAATCAACTACTTTAGCAACATATGGGTAATCGCTGTAGGCCATCAAACCTCCGGACTTATCCAAGTATCTAAGTGTGTTTCTTAAGGAACCACCACCACATCCGTAATTTCCGTTTGACACGCTGCAATCCACGATCTGCTGTTCGCTCAATGGTACCAATCGATGGGTCTGTTTGAAGATCTGCGCTTGAAGAACCAGCGCTATACTAAAAGCGTAGCAAGATCCGCAATCGCGCTGATTGTACACAGGTGTTATAAAACCTTTCTTCCTCCAATCAAGTTCTTCAGGGATCGAGTGTAGGTAGTGATAGAAATCTCCAACTATTTCAGGATCAGGAGTTTTCCTGTGCCTGCTATGGGTCAGCTTCACCATTTTTTGCAAATAAATATCCGGAGACTGTAAAAAATCACACAATTTATATAAACAAATAAATAGTGGCCTTTCTATTTTCAATATTTTGATGTATGTGTACTTTTTTTTGTAATTAGATATTTATTGAAAATTTCAATATATATAAAATGAAAATTGTATATAAAGGATATGTAAATGGATGCATTACCAGATCACTAAGATGATTGTCCTTGATGTAAAAGCTGTGCTTCCCTTGTTCGGCTTCATCGTTGTGCTTCTTAATCCTCTGCATATTCTGTTCCCAGGCTTCCCTCCTGTTGTTGTCATGATCCCCGTTATACGTCTTATTGAATCTATCCTGAAACGCAAAATCTGCAGTGTTTTCTCACGGGTCTACACTTAATGTTTACCTTGAATTCATCCCACATGTCGTCCAAATCCAATGTATCAAAGAACACATCCACGCCTAAAGCCGAAAAGGAGAAAAGGCCCAACAGGACAACAGTTACGTTTATTAACCCCATTACGAGCGCAAGTGCGAAATGCGACATGAATCGCATTCCCTAAGCAGTTTATTCGCATTCTGCAGTGTTGACTTAATTGATTTGTGTTTTTTTTGCTACGTAAGATTTCGCGAAGTATCTTTTAAATCGAGTCCAAATAATATAAAACTGAATATTGCAAAAACGTTCGAAGTCTCATTGAAGTCCTTAGAATATCGAACGTTTTGTGCATAGCCTTTATTAATCATCTGAATGCATTCCAGTGCACAGAGAAAAAAGGCACGTAAAGGCACCTAAGATGTCATTGGCATTGCGATAAATTGGAGTATCGTGTTTCGAAGACGTAAATGTTTCCAAGAGGAGGATAAAAGAATTTCGATGCGAGTGAGCAGAATTGGATCTTCTTGGATTACCTTCAGCAATTAAAGGGCATCTATAAAGAAAAACCGTTTATAATATTCGCTGCTTACGTAACTGTCGTTGTGCGCAGTTAAGCAACTATTGTAAATGACTCTATCGGAATGTCAGAGCACTACATAAAGGAATTAGTCGATATACAGTTTCATTTATGCAGGTGCATAATTTAATTGATGTTTTCTTTTTAACAAACTTTGATAAAGTGTGAGTCAATGAACGTTTCATATTAATTCCTGGTAGCGGAGAACGGGGAATCAGTGTTATCTCTTTGCGATGAATATGCATCCTCCGTGAAGAACTCGACACATGAAAGGGCTCAATTACCAATTTTATCTGTCGGAACAAATGCCATGATTTTACGAACGAGTTCTTTGGAAATGTAATTGGTTTCATTTGATTATCGTTAATCAAATACCGCGTTATCTATAATTTCAGCATCGGCATTCTGGCAACGATCTGATCATAAATATACGCATTAGTACACAAGACCAGTTTGCCGGAACTTAAGTACCGTTTCTTTCATGATTCAGCCAATTCCTATTTAGACCCAGTATTATTATTTTTTTTACATACGCGTTAACGTATAGTTAGGTAATCCTGTGATTATCCAGACCCAACTGAAATTTATTTTCTTTGGCATAATTTGTTATCATAATTGAATATATTATTAGAGTTTCTTATCCTATTATTTTACATATTCGCTAGATAATGCTTTTAATCTATGCTTTTATTTCATAAATAAGCTTAAAATTTCTATATATCATCAAACCTTACAAGTTCGGATTTAAATAGTCATTATAAAATATAATTTAAAATATATCTCTTATTTTTTTAAAGATGGAAATATTTTTGCTCAGGGTTTTAAATTTAAAAGTGCCAAAAATTATGTATCTCTACGTACTTTTTGATCCAGGATAAGGAAAGAGATTTTCATTACTTTTAATAAGTTGAACATATGCAACCAAGTTTACATCAGAATTTTCTTAAAAATCGCTGTTGATCGTTAAGATTCGACGTTTTCTTAATTACACAAAAAATACGTAATTTTTGTTGCATTTCGTGATTGCTTAAGGTGGGCATTACGCATTTTTGATGAAACAAAAGCAATAAGTTTCTATTGATACAAACAGAATAATTGGAGATGAATAACGATGCGTTCTCGAGCGACTGTTGCGGGATATTTTCTAAACTGAACAAATTGTTAATAATTATCAACAAAAAAAAAAGTAGGCTCGTTAAAAAGGTGAGATATTCACGAGTTGTCGATGATGTAATTATCTTAAGGGGTTGTATAGTTTCTTTGCTTTTTCAATTTCTACAGCTCATATCAGGCGACTCGATGATAGCACGAAGATGTATGTTGGCTGAAAAAAAAACGGATAAAAACGTTCTACAGCTCATAGCAGTCGATTTGATAACAGCACGAAGATATAGTTAGGCTCGTTCAAAAGGTGAACTGAGGGGTTTTGAAGAAATTCATGAAAAACTGTAAAAACTGAAAAACGTCATTTCTCTGTTTTTTCAATTTCTACAGCTCATAGCAGGTGACTCCACGACAGCACAAATGACCAATAGGCTTGCTGGAAAGGTGAGATATTCAGCTTTCATGCGAGTGGTCGATGATGTAATTGTCTTAAGGAGTTGTCGAGAAATTCACGAAAAACCTAAAAAAACTGAAATAAAAACCATAAAATGTCGTTTCTCTGTTACGTATAGAACGTTAAGTAACTTTTGTTACATAAAATGTTGCGCAACGCTTACATGCACCTGATAATACAATTAAAGCATAAACAAGTTCATTGGTGTTCGAGTTATTAACGAAAAACGTTTTTTCTATCTATCAACGATTTTATCAGTTCATAGCAGGCGACTCTGCGACATCACGAAGATGTAAGATAGCCCGTTGTAAAGGTGAGACATGCAGCTTCCATAAGACTAGTAGATGATGTAATTATCTTAAGGAGTTATCTTAAAATCATAAAATAGTTTATTAGTTTTCGAGTTATTAACGAAAAACTTTTTTATCTATCCATCAACGATTTCTACAGCTTATATCAGGCGACTCGACCACAGCACGTAGATGTCGAGAAATTCACGAAAAACTGAAAAAAACGTCGTTTCTGTTACTTATCGAACGTTAAGTAACTTTTGTTACATAAAATGTTGCGCAACGCTTGCATGCACCTGATTATGAAATAAAATCATAAAAAAGTTCATTAGTTTTTGAGTTATTAACGAAAAACGTTTTTTCTATCCATCAACGATTTCAAAAAGAAATTCATTTTTTTTCAGTTTCAGCTTATGTCAGGCTACTCGACGACAGCACGAAGATACCAATAGTGTCGTTGGAAATTTGAGGTATTCAGCCTTTAACTGTGTGGTCAATGATGTAATTATCTCGCAAATTTAATTGACAATGAAATTAAAATGCTTAATTTTGATAACTTATAGTAGATGTACTGACCACAACGCAATGCTGGCAGTTAGCTCATTTGAAAAGTTGTAGTTTTGGCTTTAATTTGCGTATTCGATTGTTCAATTATCACGAGTGTTAATCGATTAATTTAAAAAAACGTAAAGGTATTGCAGAAAATTAAAAAAATAGTTAAATTAATAGATAAATTCATATATATTACAAAATTTGAATTTACTATTTTAAAGAATAATTCTTTCGCTTTCGTTTGCTATAAACTACATTAGTTTTGGTCAATTAATAAGAAAGTTATTAAGCTTTAATGAGTTTGCGGTTTTCGCGAATCAAAACGCAAGTCCCCCGCCATCGAATCTCGAAAATGCCATAAAATTGGGATTTCTACCAGGAGACTAGGAGTGCGAGGAGGTATCTGAAACACTGTCACATTGACAGCTATTGCCGCAAGTTAAATTTAAAGGTATTTATTGAATTTCTTCTTTATTCTACATTGTTCTGAATGCAAACTTAATGAACAACATTGCTTCTTTCTTCTATTTTTTTTTGATGGAAAACCTTTCTCTGAACTTCATATTTCACTTCGGGCAAGTACTAGTGCAACGTGTCAACGACTAAAGTTCTTTGGCTTTAGAAACATACAACAGAAACTGCAGAAATAGGAACAATTCTTAAAATCTTTTACATAAAACAGTGTCTTCATATAAGAATGCATTAATTGTTAATAGTTATAAAGTAGGTAGTCAAGAATCATCAAAACAATTATTATTTTAGGTGGAGCTGATAGCAACTTGCCTCTAATATATAATTGATGATTTCAATTTCCCCAAAACGTGGAAAGCATTCTTTACTAGCAGTTTTCATTCTTTACTAGCAAATGTGTTAGTTTTTTTGCTTGGTTGTTTGTTGGTTTATATACTCAATTGTCGATGATTTTATGCAGCTGCTATTCTTTTATATATTTTATATTTTTGTGTTTATGTACTTTTCTATATATTTATATAATTTTTACCTTGTTTATTTACTATAGTTTAACTTACTTTTTATTTATTTTATTGTTTTTCGGGACCGAAGGAAGAACAGTTGATCTTTTATTTTTTATTTGCAGTAACTGAATCGGTTTCCTTTGGCCAAAGACACTCATTGTAAATTTGTTTTTATTTTCTTTGTATCATTTTTTTTGTCAATAAATTTGATTATTATTATTAAATAGTGGAAATCTTAACTGCTGAATGTAACCATAAATATTACTTCATTAAGGAGATGGGTAACAACAATGAACCCTATAGCACCCATGCTTCTATTGTTGCTTCGTACATGATCCTTAGAGATTGGAAAACATTTGTGATGCATAGAAAATACTGGGAAAACAAAAATGTTTTTTTTTCATCAAATTCCCAGAAAGTATTTTATATAACTATCAATCTATATTTTCACTTATTTTAAACTATATCTATTTTACTTCTACTTCCTTTTCCTATCCACACTTCACTTGGCTTGCGCGTCTTGCACAATTTCGCCAGCTATGGTTTTTATTCTATTTTAGAGGAACATTCATATTACGCGCCTAAAGTACAGGCAACCAAACATACATATACAATTTGCAGAAAAATTAGGAAAACAACGACTTAGATAATGGCCTGTATTTTCTTAAACTTGAGCTACCAGAAGAATTTTATAAATGGATGTTGATCTTGCATATACACGTATCAAAATGAATGTAAATGTTAATTTGTAGCTACAAAGGCGTCGTCGTAAGTGATTAACAAACTTTGGTATTTCACAAATGAGTTGGGGAAATAGCGTCCTCGAAAATTAAATGCATTTTCGTATACACCAACTCTCAGAAGAGATATAGAGAGATTAAAATGAGTGTAAATACAAGTTTGTAGCTACCATAGTTTCATCACAATTAATTATCAAACTTTAGTATTAGATAGTTTGGAAAAGAACGTTTTCGAAAATGGCCTGTATTTTCGTAAGCACTTGCTTCCAGAAGAATGTTGAATATGAATGTTGATCTAAAATATACAGATATTAAAATAAATGAAAATATAGGTTGATAGTTATATAAAATACTTTTAGCCTCTTTCTGGGAATTTGATGAAAATAAACATTTTTGTTTTTCCAGTATTTTCTATGCATCTACCATTCATAAATGTTTTCCAATCTAGGGATCATGTAGGAAGCAACAAGTAATATTTTTGGTCACTTTCAGCAGTTAAGGTTTCCACTATTTGCAAATTGCTATTAAACAATGCTTTCCACTTTTTGGAGAACTTAAGGTTGTCAACTATACATTAGAGGCAAGTTGCTATCAGCTCCACCTAAAATAATAACAATTGTACCAATGATTGTTGACAAGTTGACTATTTACCTTATGACTATTAGTAATTAATGTACATTCTTATATGAAGATATTAATTCAGTATATTTCTTGTAAGTTTGCATTCAGAACAATGTAGAATACACAGAAAATCCAATAAAGACCTTTAAATTCTTCTTCTTGGAGGTTTCTCCACTCCCTTCACTTAATTTGTGGCAAGCACAATTTCGCCAGTGGTCATATGTACATGTGTATTACAACAGGGGGCTAAAACACACATGGATTATGTTTAAACTGTGACCTTTAAATTTAACTTGCGACTACTTGCGACAGTAGCTGTCAGTAGCTGTCAGTCTGACAGCTGCACAAATTTTTTATGCTCACTTTAGTCTCTGTATATTCTAGATTAATATTAATATTCAAAATTCATCTGGCAGTGGGTTTTCATGATCAAAGTTTATTATCAAAGACGAAAAAATACTTTATAATCAAAGTTTATATATGTATGTTTGATTGCCTGTACTTTAGGCGCAAAATGTATATTCCATTTTTTTGTAATAGCTTTTTGGCGCTGCACAAAATCCACTTTCTTAAAAACGTTCTAATTTTAATAAACAAACATATCAGAATAATGCTTGAATGATTCTTATGTTATTAGCTCAATTAATAATTTTAATGCTTATTACTTTTCGAGTTTCACGCGATTTAATTTACAGAAGCAGATATATCTTTCGGAATATTCAGAAAACAGTCTGCAACCAAACATACATATAAACTTTGATGAATAAGTGGGAAAACAAAGTCTTAGATAATGGCATGTATTTTCGTAAATATGAGCTTCCAGAAGAATGTTATATATTAATATTGATCTTGAATATACACAGATTAAAATTAGCGTAAATATTAGTTTGTAGCTGCAATGGTGTCTTCATAATTGATTAACAAACTTTGGTATTTCACAAATGATTTGTGAAAATAGCGTCTTTGAAAATGGCCTGTGTTTTCGTAACCATGAGTTTCCAGAATAATGTTATAAATGGAAGTTGATCTTGAATATACATGGATTAAAATGAGCGCAAATGTTAATTTGTAGGAGCAATAGTGTACTCATAATTGATTAACAAACTTTGGTATTTCACAAATGAGAAAATAGCGACTTTGAAGATAGCCTGTATTTTCGTAATCATGAGCTCCCAGAAGAATGTTATAAATGGAAGTTGATATTGAATATACACGGATTAAAATAAACGCAAAAGTTAATTTATAGGAGTAATAGTGTCCTCATAATTGATTAACAAACTTTGGTATTTCACAAATGAATTGGGAAAATAGCGACTTCGAAGATAGCCTGTATATTCGTAACCATGAGCTCCCAGAAGAATGTTATAAATTGAAGTTTATCTTGAATATACACGGATTAAAATGAGCGCAAATGTTAATTTGTAGCTGCAATGGTGTACTCATAATTGATTAACAAAGTTTGGTATTTCACAAATGAGTTGTGAAAATAGCGTCTTCGAAAATGGCCTGTATTTTTGTATACATCAACTCTCAAAAGAGTTTTGGACATTAATGTTAATTTTGATTATAGAGAAATTAAAATGAGTGTACAGGTTTGTAGCTACAATAGCGTCGTCACAATTAATTATTAAACTTTGGTATTAGATAGTATGGAGAACAACATTTTCGAAAGTGACCTGTATTTTCGTAAGCACCAGCTTTTAGAAGAATATTGAACATGAATGTTGATCTAAAATAGATAAGGATTAAAATAAGTGAAAATATAGATTGATAGTTATATAAAATACTTTTAGTCTTTTTCTGGGAATTTGATGAAAATAAACATTTTTGTTTTTCCTGTATTTTCAATGCAACAATAGAATCTACAGAGTTCATAGTTGTTATCCATCTTCTTAATGAAGTAATGTTTTTGGTCACTTTGGTTACTATTAAACAATGCTTTCCACTTTCTGGAGAACTTAAGATCTTCAACTATACATTAGAAATATGTTGCTATCAGCTCCACCTAAAATAATAATAATTGTATCGATTATTCTTGACTGCTTACTTTATGACTATTAACAATTAATGCATTCGTATATGAAGACACTGTTTTATGTAAAAGATTTTAAGAATTATCCCTACTTCTGCAGTTTCTGTTGTATGTTTCTGAAGCCAAAGAACTTTAGTGATCGATGGTTGTTGACATGTTGCACTAGTACTTGTCCGAAGTGAAATATGAAGTTCAGATAAAGGTTTTCCATCCAAAAAATAGAAGAAGGAAGCAATGGAGCATGTTGTTCATTAAGGGTGGGGACTTGCGTTTTGATTCGCGAAAACCACCAACTCATTAAAGCTTAATAACTTTCTTATTAATTGACCAAAAGTAATGTAGTTTATAGCAAACGAAAGCAGAAGAATTATTCTTTAAAATAGTAAATTCATCTATTTATTTAACTATTTTTTCAATTTGCTGCAATGCCTTTACGTTTTTTTTAAATTAATCGGTTACTACTCTTGATAATTAAACAATCGAATACGCAAATTAAAGACAGAACTACAGCCTTTCTAATTTTCGTACTGTCATCGAGTAGCATGCGACAAGCTATATAAATTGGAAATAAAAGTGAATAGGTTTTTATTTTTAAATAAAAAATTACCGGTAGTAAAAAGTTTATTTTGTAGCTGAAAATATTTTGTTATATAACTGAAAGATCTATAGCTCTTTGCAACCGTTTTCATTTATTGAAATTTTTAATATAAATTAATTATAATTTGTTTTACTTTTTATTTTGAATTACTTCTAGTATTAGTTTACCAATATTAATACCAATCTTTGACAGAATGATATATATATTGAAATGATTGAAACGTTTATGGTTATCATGTTGAAAATTTTTAAATTCTTTGTAATTACATTATTAAATATATTTTAAATACTAGTAAAGATATAGACCAGAAGTTGAATCGGTAAAACAATTTAGATTTAATTATTTTAAAAGAAAAGTAAATATTTTTTTTTTAAGTATGCTACAACAAAATTGTCAACAATAATAATTCATAAACTCCTAAATTTGAATGAAGTATCTTGCAAAGATTACGTTCGCTAAATATTGAAAAAATATTAATTTACTTTACTTACCATTTATTTTTGATCCACAGAAAAAAATGTTTATTTTCGATTGATCGGGGAAAGCGGTGAAGATTAATAAATTAAATGAATGAAATAATTATGCGGAATGAATGATTTGTATTATTGTATTTCAATGAATTACATAATATGGATAGGATTCATCGAATAGATAATAATTAAAGGGATTGTAATTATTAATTCGGAACATCATTTATTACCTCGATAAAAATCATCAAAAATTATTATTTTTTTTCTTCGTCACCATCTTCCACCGTCTCCCTCTCATCTTCCATTCAGTTGTTACCGATTAATTTTAAAGCTTGTGCTATCATAAATTATTGTTCCGAATCGATACATTTAAATGTCATACATAATCCCAGGTTCTCGAAAGTTCCCGGAGCAACATCTATTTTTTTTATCATTTTTATTCTTGCATACACGTATAAGTTATATATATTTTGGACATCAATATTTAATGTGTAATGAGTATCAGGTAAGGAAGGATAATATAACTGTACGGCTATACGAGCGCAGGTTGTAGAATCCAGCACTATTAGTAGTTATTAATACATGAATCCTGGGCTGATCGGACCATATGGTACCGAAACCCAAAGGTTTTGTATGCTCGTGCTCATTGATTTTTATTTGATGGTATCGAATTTACAGCCTGCGCAACCTGCGGAATTGTCTCCAGCTCAAAGAGAGCCCCTGCGATACTAAACGTTATGTATTCGTTTGCGCAAGGGGTTTCTTTCAAGTCGCAATCATCTCACAACAAGATCTAGGGGATGGACATATAAGGTATACTAGGTTATATATTTTGTTGTAGTGTAGGTAAGCAATCGTCGAAGTCTACTGACGGTCTGGGCACTCGATGTCGCAGTCAGTTAACGGCTCGGTTCTTAAGGATCTATTGACGTGCAACAGATACTTGACAGATTGACGAGCTACCCAACGACACTCGACATCCTCATCGCATAGTTCATCAGCCTTGGCCAAGAACAATACGTTGCATTGACGAGTACCGACGAACCAACCGTTTTCACCCTGTAAATATAAGGAGACAATGTATTAATATTGATATAAACAAATCTATCAATTGGAAGTAGATATCTTATATGCTTATGTTAACGACAAAGTGTGTATTTCAGTATATTTATATATAATACAACTGCTAGTACGTAATGTTTGAAGGTCCGAAGTTGCTCTTTAAAAAAATATTACGTAATGTTAATTAATTATTGAAATCTATTAATTTATTGTAACGGTTTATTTAATGTTAATAAATTGGATTTAGGTATTCTACATAATCAGTAGGTGTTATGAATTATACACTTTACCGTTATATATGTATTCATTGTATTATTTCAATGGAATGTTTCATATTTTCCGAGTCTGATCTCTGATTGAAAATACTCAGAGCAGCGAATTACCAAGAAATGCGTTTTTATTCGCTTCGGAAAATATGAGAAATTACGTCATGTTCCATCACCGCAAATTGGAGCGCAGGAAGTAATCTCCTATTAGGATGCAGTCATGGAAGTAATCTGTTAGGACGTATGAAATGAAATGCTGTACAATGAAAGCGTTTCCATGACGACCGAGGTGTTTTGTGATATAACAAGCAGACTAGAAGTTTTTCATGCCAATTAAATAGTAATATATATATACTCACGCAGAACAAGCACATCTGATACATGTTGCAGGCGATCTCGAAGGTCTTCCCGTAATGACCGAGCACAGCTACTACATCATTGCAGACAGTCTCGATACGAGGACATCCGGAGCCTTGAAAAAGAAAAAAAATAATTGTTAGTAATTTTGTTTGTAAAGTTTGAAGATTTGATTACCTCTTTCCCAGTTCGATTCCTCAAGCAATTCGGAAGGAGGTTTATAGTTTTGACCCTCGCAATCCTCGCCGTCGGTGCCTTCGGCACACTTGATATTATTATCTTCCTTTACATCGAGAGAACGATCCTTATCGACAGCTTGTTTACGAGCAACGGATACGCGCTTATCCTCGTTGATGTTATCGTCTTGGACGCTTTTCTCCATGCTCTCCTTGTATTGTCCTATAGCCCTGCGCATCTTCTCCAAGCTGTAAGCAGCTGCTAAACGAGTGATGATGCGATCTTTGACTTCTTGGATTTCCTTGGAGTCAACGGTGCCTTCGTGGGACCCGGTGAACTTCAAAGCGTCATCCACGATGGACTCCTCCAAAGTCTTCAACTTCTCATCCATTTCCTTGAGTTTGGATTGATTAGGTTTCTTCGACATTTGGTTATCGTGATCGTGGAAGTTTTGCAAGGGATATTCTGTACGCTTGGAGGCAATGGCTGCGGTTTTATGGTAACGCTCTAGGAGCCATTCGTTGTCGATGTCGTCGCCGGACTTCTTGCGGCGGTCCAGGCCGAAGTAGTCTGACCAGTTTATGGACTTTTTTGTGATGCCTAATGGCTTCTCAGGTGGTACGTTTTTTGGAACCTCTTCCTTGGTAACGTCCTTTTTTGGCTTCTCTTCCATCAAAGTAGGTTTCTTGGTTGCCTTCGGTTTGGTGTTGAAGATTCCGGATAGCTCCTTCTCCACTTTAGGATCCGTCTTTCCCGTTTGCTTGACGGAACGCTTATGCTCGTGAGCAAATTTGCTACGTTTAGAAACCGGAAAATGGTTGTACGGATTGTAGTTGTCAATTTTCTCGTTTTGAAGGGTCGCGTAGTCTTCATCGTACAGATTTTCGCGACCGTTCAACACGTAGAAATCAAGTGGGTTTTGTGAAGAATAGCGAGTACGTTTCTTCATACCAACACTATCCCAACCAGCATAAGATCTTTTATCATTGATATCATTGCTAGAATAAGCTTTGACGCTTTTATCATACATATCGCCCAGGGCATCTGACGCTTCAGACTCTGGACGATTCATGTACATCTTAGACAACAGTAACTCCTTCTGACGGGCCTTATCCTTCTCGACGCGTTCGCGAAAGGGAGATGAAATGCGATTCTTCGAATTGTCAGCGGACTTCTCCTCCAAGTATTCGAACAACGCTTTCTCGAGATCGACGTTCTCAGACTCGGCCTTCTCATCTAGAGTAAACAAGATCAGGGTTAAAGGTCAGCGGCGATTACGGAATCCGCGGATGTAAATGCTTTATCAACGTGTTAGTACTATCTACATTCAATTTAGCTAATAGTTAAGTCAAATTACCAGGAATCACGTATTGGACGTCGTTATTCATTCCATCATCAGCTATGTAAGGATTTCCATCGTTTTGATAAAGGCCCAATCTACGGTACCCATTCAAGTCACGTTGACGCCTATTTACAGCGTTCAAAGCGCTTTTCAACGAATCCTCCCCTCTTGCTAATGGTAGCAAAAGGATCAACACCCAAGCAAAGGGCACACACTTAGTCCACATCGTGAATCGCCTGAAACGTCAATAATTGTTTTAAAAAAAATCATAATATTAAAAATATATAAAATTACCAAAAAGTATAACTGTATGGCAAACATAGTTTGATTTACGTATTTTTCTTTATATTATGCATAAACGATTCAAATGATATAAAGGTCAAGAATATTTTTTAAATTGTTAAGAAAAGAAATAGAAATTTATTTAAAATTAAATACATTTTAATGAAATATAAAAATTGTTTTGATGGATTCTAAATTGGGAATGTCTGGAGCACATCTGGTTTAAATTTTAATTCCACTAGACATCAAGTGAATTGAATTTGTGTTGTAAAATATTGCTAATGGAGTCGGCAAACTGTCTGCATCGGATAGCAACGAAAGTTCCGAATATAATTTGATGTAAATCGTCCATTAACTGCGCGTAATTCAGTTTGAAATTGAATTATTTTTGTTTTGTTTTATTATCCGGTAAGCAATTACAACTTTTACTGGTTTTGAACTTTTCGAGCATTTACATGTACACAAAATAAAACAAGAACAAAAACAATGAAAACTTTTACAAAGCATATAAATATTCAGCGGCGGATCAATGCTCCCCCACCTATAATCCCTGAAATAAATGCACAGACAGAAAGAGCATTGCTTTGGAAATTGATTTTGTATTAGTGAAACGCAATCAGACTGGAAGCAACACGGTGCAAACGTGTAAATGAAATAATGTAATTTGCTTCTGGCAGATTCCCAGATCGATCCGATAAAATTGCGTTGAAGCAACAGAATAAAATGAACGATCCATTAGTGATTTGATGCTGAGCTTAGGGTACATGTAGATTTATGGTCGTGAAGATGCTTGTAATTAATTGCCAATTTGTACGACGAATGGGAATCCAGCCCAGATTTCCGCTGAAAAGTTTCAATAATTAACCACGTAATTATTTTGCGTGCTTCTATAATGCGAGACTGTTTGTGCACACGTAACCAAATTTTAGTGGGAACAAACATTCCCAGTATTGTAGGGGAATCCAATATCAAATTCGCAATATTCGATCTTCCGCTCTAATTAACGCCTCTCCAAATTCAATTACGCCCGACAACGTCCACTTTGCAAACATGTTACCTAACGCCTCTGCGTATTTACCGTCATTAACTGTAATGATATCAAAAGCCTTCACTTTGATCACAACTTCGTTAATAATGTGTGATATCGCCTATGACACATCCGTTCATCACCACTAAAATCAATACAAAATATATAATAGTTTTTCCATCAAACTTTACTAGAACCAACAATAATCACATTTATTACAATACTTATACAAAACACAAAAAGTAACTAAAAATAAATGACTATTATAATTACATAATTATTAAAGTAATTAATAAACTTTCGATTATAAAAAAAACTTCATATATTAATTAACTACATATGTAATAAAATATTCAATTTCGTATAAAAAAATATTTAATAAAAATAAAGATGAAATCTTATGAAAATAAAATATTAAGACAATTTAATAATTTAAATTCAGACATGAATAATGATAGACTATTGTGCTTTAAAAATATTCAGATTTTTTTTCTGCTTGTAATTTTAAATCTAGTTTTAAGTGATTTTCAGTTCTGTGTATTAAAAATTGCAAATCAATTTCAATTTTGAAAACATTCCCGAAAAATCTCATCTGGTACATAGGGCCCACAAAAATATTAGAATCTAATAATAGAACTTCTCAAGTATTAAATTTGTCACAGTTTGAGGGCCCCATAATTCGCGGGGTGAAGCTACTGATAATTTGTATTCAAAAATAAAATTAACGAAAAAGCAATGTTTTCACATTTCAGTTATTTTCTCGAAAAATATATTAGTTAGAATGGATCCAAAAGATACAGATGAAAGCTGAATGTTTGGAGAATTTTGCGAGTATTCGTATCGATACATATCAAAATTTAAATATTGAAAAAATCATATTTTAGTGATTTTATCAAAAACTATAATATAAGTATAATGGGTCCAAAAGTTGCATATAAAAACTGGAAATAAAATGTAGCTAGTTTCATGTGGTATCATTTTTTTTTAATATAATATTTTTAATGAAGACGAGAGAAAATGAAGAATTCATTAATTTTAACTTAGAATGATAAATTTTAATTTAATAAAATAAAAATATTAATAAATTTAATAACTTAAGTTTCATTAAATAAATTACTTACATACACAAATGTGTATGAAAAATAAATTTCCTTTTACATCAAAATGTTTGAGTTCCGTGTATTCAGAGAAAAACTCATCAAAGACTGAAAGTAATTGCATTTCTATTTATTCGCTGTTTGGAGTATTGCGTAGTTCAAAGCTAATATCACAGTGTCAATATAATTAAAGCGCAAGTTTCGCTGAAGTTCATTTAATTCTTTCTTTATTTCAAACAAAGTTGTTGTATAACATTGCAATATTACGTTTATTTTACTCTAAATGAAAATATATTTTAGAGTTTCTTGTAATAATTATAGTTGAATATTATTTACTATAATAAGGTTGTCTTAGTGTCATTAGATGATTAGTGCTAATTAAATTAGATAGCGTTGCCCGGCGCCTCCACATTTCGCATAATTGGGCATATCTCAGCTTAAGTACTTATTTACCAGTAAAAGTTCGGTATCAGTTAAACATTCCTATATTGCAAGTAGCTGTATGTACAAATAATTGCAAGGACTTCAAAGAATACATTTCAATGAAAGGAAATATAACCTTTACGCTGTACGTCAAAGCTTTATACTGAAATGCCAAAGGCAGTCAACGTTGAGTATTACAATGCAATTAAAATCTCTTTGAATTGAGGAATAACAGATGGACTAAACAACTGTTATGTTGTTATGTAAACACACAAATAATGCATTTTTACGGTAAAAATAATATTTCCTAGTCGTGTACCAAATAGAGGAAAGTCGTTTCTTTAAAAGGATTGCGGTATAAAAACAATTTATTTTATTTTTAACATCTTCTTCCGCTTTGAAAATAAAATGATGAGACGCTTAAAAGGCAGTCCTTTGCAGGTCCTGCACTGCACATAACATACAAAAGTGGTGATAGAAAAAGATGAAAGGAAGCCGCACAAAGGAAGTGATTCACATTCTGACTTTTTCCGCCCGGTTTTATCAGGAGTCGAACAAACATGTGCTACAGATTTACGATGAACATTTCCAAGAAATATGAGAATATATATACAACGTTACAAATGATACAACCAAAACGCAATATAAAATATCGAGGTTTGAAAAATCTTAAAAAAAAATGTGATCTATTAAATCAAAATGTGGACATGTTTCGTTGATTTATGAGACGTAAATTCCAATTTCGCAGATGGTACGTCATGTATACAGAATTGGAGCTGTAGCAGAATTATGTAATTCATTTTGTTTGTATATGTACAATCAAATCACATTGCGGGATTCTCGACATTTGCAAATCGGGAAACGACCTGCTTTTGCGGATTAAATTCAATTACGTCATCGACTGAAATCGAATAAAAATTTTGCCAATGTAATTGCATAAATATGGATTTACGGATTCGAGAGAATTTCATCCACCGCAGCAGGATGATGCGTATCCGGGATGCAGTAATGAACTGCAGGAATTTGGCCTAGATTTTACCGGAATTTCGATATTAAGCATTCCGTAAAGCCTTTCAATATGTGCTTTCCTCAATATCAAATTACATTTATGATGAAATAATTTGACCAAATTTTGTTATTAATTATATTAAAAAAAAATGTATTAATTATTTCAAGTTATCAATTTATATGTTTTTCATAAACTGAAATATCAAATAATATGATTTTCAAAAGTTTTCAATAACATTTTTTTAACAATCTACATACAAATTCGTATATAAGCATCATTTCTACTTATTTTACTGAAAGAGTGGAAAATCGTTATTAGTTCTATTTTTTTCTTCAATTATGTCTATTATTAAAACCTAATTAAATATGTAAACAATAACGTTTGTAATCATTAAAAACCAATATACCTGTTTGTTACTTTAAGAACCCAGAAACCTTTAATGTATTATTAATGAAAAGAGTATTACAATCTTTAAGCAATTCCTTTTATACTATATGAAAAAAATCAACAAAGCACACGATTTTAATTAGAGTAGCGTAAAGTAATAAGAGTATGTGGACGTAAAAGCTTTAATTAATTTTATCGATTATGAATATATAATTTTTTTTTTTCAATGTCAGTGATGTGCGTATTATACGATATTAATTTTACTTTTTTTTATATATATTTTCAACGTGTTAATGAAGACGACAAAGCTTTTTTATATCCTGATTATATTGGAATAGGGATTCGGCACGATTCCCTGTTTGAACTAAGGATTTTATATACAATACTATGAGTTAAATATAAACGATTTTTTTTTATAATTATTGCAAATGTATTATTTTTTAAACATGACATACTGTTATTTAAATTATTTCTTATTCATTAATATGATAAAGATAGACCTAGTACCTAAAATTTACAAAAAAATACACAAAACAAAAGTATAATATTAATTTAATGTTGGATGCAGGTCGTTAGCCTTGCATGTAAGTAATTACGCAATTTATGTATTTATTTTTATTGAAGTGTCGCGCTTGGTGATGGTAGGTTTAGATCAGTTTGCCTATGCTATTAGCAGAAGTCGGCCATATTGATGATAAACAACAATTGAGTAATTCTTTTATATATATAAAAAAACAATTATGTAATTGTTACAGTTGTAAATAACAAAGTTGATGCAAATTTTTAGTACGTTGATCGATATTGACTGGGGTCATGTTATTGTTATCGAGCATCGTGTTTGTTATTGTCGCGTCCATTCGTATGGAAAAGAGATGACCGTTGAATAAATTGTGTGCCAAATAACGGTGATTATTGATTTTCTGGACGACTGCTGGGGGTGGCGTTCATACGCGGATGTGCTTACAAACAAGGGATGCAGGGCTCCCGGAGTTTTAATAAAAAAGGCCATTGGGGCAGGCGTTTACTGCTCTCGTTTTTTTTCTCTATTGTGGGGTGAAATTGAATTTAGGGTAACCGCGGCGTGCGCTGTGCACATTAGGACCAGCTGAAGTGGCTCCCTGTGGGCCACATTTGGCCCGCATCTACTTGTTGAATGGCCCTTTATTTCGGTAATATTAATTAAGAGTCACTTACATTCACCGGTGCTCGCATGCAAGGTCGACGGCCTAGATAGGTGTCCACACTGGCGGATGCTTCGGATCTGGTCCTCCTTGGGACCGGCTGCCGTTTATATGTAGGCTGACGGCGGCGGCGACGCCGGCGCTTCCAGCCGTCGTCGCCGTCGCCATCGGTCGATAATGCCAACTAGTGCACAGCCGAATACAACGAAAAAATATTACTTATACATGTATACTCATACGTGCATATATATATACTAATACAAGCGTGTATTCCTTCACAATGTGTACCTACATAATGGTCCAGGTACACGAGCAGCTAACTACGGATGCAACAACGCAATAACCGAAGCCTCCATTTTGACTTCCCTTCAGTACATTTCCATCGGCGAGGAACAACAACTCCGATCTAGGGCGAAACACAAATAAACTCCGAAAACCCTCAATTTATATAGCGATTGATTATGCAATATGCTAACAGCTCCGTATTTTACTTGCTTTTTTTTAATCAATCCATTTCATTGTTGGATAACTTCAATTGCAATCCATTAGATGCGTAGCACGCTTTTATGGATTGCCATAATTTATTTTATACGTCCATTACGTAGTTGCTATAAGGATTCTTACAAAAGTTAAGCAACGGCGTCCAATTAAAATTTGAAAAACTGATTATAAAAGTTAAGCAAGGAAAGGTGACAGATTCAAATCTCTCCAACAACAAAAATCCATTGTGATAAGCATAAAAGGTGACAGAAATATGGCCGTAGGGATTAAAATAAAAAAGTTAAGCACAGAATAACTTTGATGAAAAACTCAACGTTAACATCAACTTAGATTAAAGAACAGTATCGAAACTAATTCTACTTGTATTCAATTTTGATTTGCTGATTACCAAAGTTAAGCATCAGCACCACCAAACATCGATTTGATAATTTTTGGATAAGTACTTATAAGTTAAGCTTACAATAGTTAAGCAAGGAAAATTACTTCGATGAACTTAACAGTCTATTTGATAGTTGGGTGCCCTTTGCCAACTCGGGACTACTCTGAAGACACTTAGTATAATGATGACGTTTTAAACGCAAACCTTTAAATATTCCACGTATGAGTTTTGTGTAAATCTTCATACTGTATTATACAATCACTGCACTTTTCTAAAATGATTATTCAATATTTAAATGGAATTGATTATAATATGAAAAATTTACTATTCTTTTCAAAGGCAGTCATTTTCCATTAGATGTTTTTTCTGAATAAAAATGAGGCTAATGGAATATAAATCTGCACAGGATCTACATCCCCCCGGAGGCGTAATTACAACAAAAATATATACCTATACCCATATTAAATTTCCTGCAAATCCTGCCTGAAAGGCCTCATGAAATGTAACATAGTATTTGTTCCTACTTCCATTGAGAACTCTTGTATTCCCTAATGATATAACTTTAATTAACGGCCGCTTATTAAAACACCGAGTCCAGATAAAATTAGAAATTTTAAATTAGTTTCTACAGTAGATGCGCTTTTATAAAAAAAAATCAAATATAAAATTTTAATATTAAAAGTTTGGATTCATGTTATATTTTTGTCAATTTATTATATGATATAGAATATGTGAATAAAAGTAAATTATTTTTGTTTGGCCCAAAGATATAAGGGCTGTGTGGAAGTAAAATATGTATTAATAAATCTCAAGGTCAAATATCATGGAATATCTGAATTACTTTTAGATTAAACCACAAGCGTCACTGTAATTCTTGAGTCATTCGGTTAATAAATGTATAAAGAAAGCAATAATTTAATTGTATTCATAATTTAATCCACATTATTCTTACGAACGACAAATTTTGGTTTAATTACACATATAAATATGGTTTTAGCTGAGATTATCTTACAGCGATAACAATTACATTCAGACTTAAATTAAATTCTTGGTATTTTTTTTTTAAATGAAATATGGTCTTTCTTAGTAAATATAGGTTTAGCTGTAAACGAAGATAATGATCCTTTATTTTATATAATTATTTCCATATAATTAAGTCTGATAAATAAATACACACGAAATGTACTGAATTTGTGAATATTTCATACTGTTTGCAAATGCATTTTATAATTTATATGACCCATTTCTACTCTAACATCTTCCATTGCTTAAAATCAGGTGGTTGAATGGAAATATCGATTATAATTATAAATTTTAAAGTATTTTTAGGAGAACTGAAATATTTAATATTTTTCAATTATTTGCTTTTGTAATCACAATTATTATATAATATGTTTTATCTACAACACAATAATGTCAACTAATAAATTATTTTATCTCAATAATAAATTCTGGACAAATAATAATATTTCATTTAAACTTGTCACATTTTGTGATTACAATATTTATGTTTTTGTTTATATAGTTAATTACAGTTTAATTTTAAATATAAGATAATCCTTAAGCTTTTGATGCTACCGAATACCTCGCATAGTCCGGGTAAACGATTACTTGCATTTTGTGAATTCAGAAACAAAAAAATATTTACTAATTAAAAAATATAATAAAAAGAGTAGAAATAGATGATTTGTAAAAGTCTAATGCTTAACTAGGTGTGTTTTCAATTTGAGTTGAAATAGATTATACGAAAATTTGAGTAATTGTATGCACTTCTTTTTTGAATGTAGAAGTGAATGAGAGAGTACTTGATCGAATAAAAGATTATATCCGAGCGTTACCAAAAAAAAATGAGGTCAGTGTTAAGGAGAGTACAATTGCACATTTACTCCAGGAGCAGCACTAGATAAAGGCATCACTAGAGGAGGAATGTTACCGCAAAATAAGATGCGACGTATTAAATTACGCATTTCCCGCAGTTAGCGAACGGATTGATGATGAATACATGTGCATAACAAATGGCAATTGCAACTTGTTTGTTGCTAAATGCAACAGTTAACAATAATATTTGGTAGACAAAAATATCAGAATAGTTCATACTCTCTTTCACTCATAATAATGTGATTCACAAACCGATCCATAAAACCGCTCTTAATATAACTGGCATCTGCTTGACATTGGCCTTGCGTGCTGCACATTCCGCGAATAGCATTTTAATTGGGTAATCTTAATTGTTTCAGCAGTTTCCAAGACAGACCGCTCTTTGGATGCCAACGACACATTTATTGGCGACATCCCGAATTCCTTCACGACGGCTGCCCGAAAATTCGACTCGTATTATTCATTCTCATCCTCATCTTCATCTCACTCCCATCTTCAAAAAACCGCAAATGCCTGCACACTTTCCTACATCCGAGCTTCCAATATTTCCACTGCAGTCGGGACGTAATTATAACGCGGAATGTGCGATATTGCAAAACCAAGATGAGCATTCCAGACGCAATAAATTTCTCTATGGTTTCAGACAAACGTCTTCATTCAAATGAAGCAATTGTTATAATTATGGTTTCAGATTAAATAGTAAAAATAATTAATTGCAAAACATATATGCATATTTTTGAAAAATTAATTTTTAATTGGTTTGATTTTTTTTTTGTAAAAATATATTTTTTTAGAAAAATTGTCTATTACTTTTTTATGATACAAAAAATACGTTTAAGTATTATAAACTTTATGTTCAGGTAGATATTTATTGTATTAAGCTTTTTAATCATGAAAATTTACAAAAGGTGAAGTGGACAATTAGTTTTTATTGTATTGTTTATTGCTCTATACTCATCACAAGTATTCATTCAAATAAAATTTAATTGTACCTAATATTCGGATAATAAGACACATATTTTTACAAAATTTTCTTAGGATTTTTTTTTTATAATAATGTATATAATTCTAAAAATTGTCTGTTAAATTTGGAATGCGTTTTATAGTCCAATACGTTTTTATTATACGAAAAATACGTTTAAGTATAAGATGTTTAGGTAGTTATTGTAAATATGCTTATTAATCATCGAAATTTATAAAAGGTAAAGTAGACAATTAATCATTGTTTGTTATTATTTTTCTAAACAAATTGAGTGTATTCATCCAATTTTATTTGATCAAACTGTTTAGATTGATGTTTACATTTTAATGTTATCCACATTTGTTTACTGAAGAGAGATGGTTATTTGTATAAGGTAGTTATATTTTGCTATCAGTTTTCTTGTTCGGCTCGCAGCTATCGTTGCTCTTTATCAATAAGCCTGAGTAATGTGTGTTGTCTTTACCCAATAATCAATTGGCAAAGTAAAGGATTCGATATAATCACTGGATGGTATCACCGTCATTATCACTCCAAGAAACCTGGTCATCGGCAATCAATTGGTAAGTAAAAACAAAATTGGTAATCATGTTCTGACTAAAATGCGCCCCACCAACTACTGTTTAAACAGATAAGCAGATAGTTTAATAAATATTTGTAACGGCAGAGCGATTACAAATAGTAGGAGCTAGCAACGAGCAGTGTTCAGTTCAGTTTTGGTTGTCGAGTGCGCACGTTAAGATGGTCTTAGATCCAAGCACCAAAATGCTTCTTACCAGCAAACAACCCATCAAACCCAAGTCTTACTACCTGGTACCCATAGTGCTGTTCTTCATATTAATCGCGTTCTGTGCATCATCCATCGTCTACACGGTTCTACGTATTAACCAGATCCAAACGGAACTGGACTCCGCAAAAGAACTCCTGGATCTCATCCAACCGTTCATTTCCATCCATCAAAGGAGCACCGAGGAACCTCAGATCTACGAGGATCTAATTCCCGACAATGTATGTTCCCTAGCACTTATCTCTCTATTCTATTTGTACACAATATCTAATCAGGAAACTGCTCCAACATCTTAACGAGACTGAGCGATTCAATTACATCGTAATTAAATTGCTGCTTGTTTGCACAGTCCTTTCTATATATTATTTTTTCTCTTTCTTTATTGATGTTCGTCATTCATAGATAATGATTTGCTCGTGTTATGTGATTTAGCAAATGTACGAATATTACAACGATGACGACGAAAATTATAATACCAGCGACGACTACGGCAGCAACAAATTCATGCAGAGAAAGAAGCGCAGCGTCGAGATTAAAACTGAAGCAAGCAGGTAAGTACATCAATAAAATAAGAGAATACAAGTTATAAATTTGCGTCTTTTCTTAGCGAGGAAAAATTAAACAGCGATGCCAGCGAAGGTTCTTTGCCACCTAGAAAGATCAGATACATGGATGATACACCTGACATAACTTACAACGGCAGACATGTAATAATAGCATTGTTGTAAAGCTTTTAGATTTTAACATTTATTTTTTCATTTAGGAGCACGTTAGTGAAACCAACCATAGATCCAGAAGCGGAAGGCTTAGGCAAAGACAGAAACATCAGCACATGGAAATCTTTGATGATTCTTATACCAGTACCCGAATTGTCAGAGGAAGACTTGTTGCCGCTCATTTCAACGGGAATTCGTCGAGGTACATCGTTGGCCAGCATACAAACTATAACGGTAACTAAAAGATACCTGTATTAAGGTTATCATTATTGATTTTTTTTTACTGTGTTAGGTAATGGTCATTTGAAACACACCGAGCAGAGGTACATTGACTGGGTCCCAAGCGAATGGGTTCAATCATTGGGAATGGGTCAAAACTTTAAAATGGACAACGGTTTTTTGACTCTGAAGGAGTCCGGCCTTTTCCTGATTTATGCTCAGGTAAGTATTTTTTACAAAAAATTGGATTTGAATACACAATTTAAATTTTCAGGTTTACTACTTGGATTATCACGATATGAATGGCTACAGGATCTTCAAAAACTCCGATCCGATTTTGCAGTGTACTACCATGACACATTCAGAAGGACGTGTCATTAAAGGCAATACCTGTTACACATCCGGTGTCGTATATCTGAACGAAGGTGATAGATTGAGTGTAGTTGATATAGCTCTAGGTAGATATTCACTCTTCGAAAAGGACAAGAGTTTCTTCGGAGTCGTCCAATTGTCGGACGTTAACATGAAATAGATTAGATATTTTACCAAACCCTACTATTTATTCCAGTTGTTTTGTGCCATAATTTTAAGGCTTGGTATTACTCGAGCTTCAAGCACAATATATTATTAAGTTCTCTTTTTTTTAATTTTTGTTAGACAAAGCTTATTGTTCGTTTATTCAATGTTTTTTTATATACCATTGTGGTGTTTAACAAACAATACAATACATTTTTTACAAATATGTATATTTAGACAATAAAATATTTTTTGATACTTTCTTTGTAAGATTATATTTTTTCTATCAAATATTGCAATTTCCATTTATGAAATTATTAAATAAAGAAAATTGTAGAGTTTTATTTACATCCTTAAAGATTTCCAACAACTTTACATACTTGTTTTAATACAATGCAAACTTTTGGCCTTTACACATGATAATTTTACATAAATTTAGAACAACTTAAAATTAAAAGAAATGTCCTTTTCATTTTATAAATTAACATATGTTGGACATTGTATGTTTACGATTTAATTTTATTATTTTCTTTGCAACTTTCTTTTCTTTCTTTTTCATTAGATACTGATGTTGAAGACATCTTAAGTAAAGTGTAATTAATTAAAGTAGACACACTAGACGAGAGAAGCACTTTGTTTGCGCGCTAGTTTTAATTAAAGATGTTGATGAGAATGGTGATGGTCTATATACACCCTGAACTAGTTTATTGATTTTCTGCGCACGGAAATATCTAGGAAATAGAGAAATCATTCAAGTGCAGCCATAATAATTAATGACAGTGGGAATAACACCCAAAGTATAGAAACTCATCAAGAAGAGAGTATTTTTAATAAAGCTGCGCCTGTTTTGTTTTTATGATGTTTATTGATTGTTGAGTTGTTGTGTAAAGAGCAGTAAAAATAGTATCTATTTGTCGAATGTCTTGAATTATCGATTATGTGAGTGTGGAAATCTAGGTTGGCGTTTTGATTTGGCCATGTCTATTATTTCCGGAATCCGGGAGAGCATTTGGGAAAACGTGAATGTGTATAAACTGATCGAAACCACCCCGTAGAGCGCAGTCGCTAGTTTCGGGATTTTGTTGCCTTCTGGGGAACAGAAAGTAGTAGGTATGTGTGAGATGCGAGGGTGTAGGCAATCGATCAGACCAGAAAGGCCTTAAAGTGCCATTCCCATACAGAGCAAGAATGAACGACACTCTTAAAGCATCGACACAATAAAGTAAGTTACCATTTTTTCTTGTTGAACTGTTCATAAATGCATTGCATAATGGATTTACGCGGCTGTAATCAATAAGCATGCATTAGGTAATCCGACAATTGTTGCGCGCGTAACGATGTAGTTTCCTATGGTTACAGGTTTATTTCGAATGTTCGATCCGAGTCACAAATCCGATTGTTTGGTTTGTGCTGCCTATTCGCGATGGCTTCAGAGAAAAGTGAACACAATCATAGGTAGATAAATTCCATATTTTCAGCTTGAATCGTAAGTAACAATCTGGACCCTTAGGCTCATCTTACCAGTACCTATGTACCACAGCGATTTCAACATTTGGTCGGTGTTAAAGAATTGCATTGGAAAAGAACTAAGTAAAATAACAATGCCAGTTGTCTTCAATGAGCCCCTCAGCTTCCTCCAGAGGATGGCCGAATACATGGAATACGCACACGTCTTGAGGATTGCGGCTAAGCAAACGGATCCCGTAACGCGAATGCAATACGTTGCTGGTAAATCGCTTAAGACCTAAATTCCATCATCTTATATGTATAATAATGCATTACAGGATTTGCTGTCAGCGCGTTAGCTTCTAATTGGGAACGGCTCGGGAAACCGTTTAATCCATTACTGGGTGAAACTTACGAGCTTGAAAGGGAAGAATTCAAGATCGTCTGCGAGCAGGTCAGCCACCACCCACCCGTTTCCGCTTTCCACGCTGAAGGCGCGGATTGGGTCTTCCATGGTTCTATTCATCCCAAGCTCAAATTCTGGGGCAAAAGCGTGGAAATCTCACCGAAGGGCACGGTCACAGTGGAATTTCCCAAGTACATAATGGTAAAACCGCACCTACCCAATTTATATTCATTGAATCTGTCACAATAGATTGAAAGAGGCATACACTTGGACCAACGTTCAATGCTGCGTGCACAACATCATCGTTGGAAAATTATGGATGGAGCAGTATGGCAACATGGAGATTATCAATCACACCACCGGTCATAAAGCAAGCTTGACCTTCAAGGCAGCCGGGAATAACTCCAAGGATCTGCATCATGTCGAAGGATTTATCACTGATAAATCGTAAGTTCTGCGATACAATGCAACATGCAACAGTATACTAACACGAAATTATAGCAAACGCAAACTCTTTTACCTGTACGGTAAATGGACCGAATTCTTGAAGTGCTGTGACTACTCTTCTTATGAAGAATACCTCAAAGAGAATTCACACAAATTCAAGAAGGACGGCGATGGTCGCAGCAAGAGCCCCAACGATTCTCCTTCTCATACTCCAAGAAAGGTTTTGCAAAAATTGAACAGCTTGAAAGTTGGACCATTCAAATCGTCCCAGCATGAAGTAAGATCCAATTTAATCTTTTACACCTTTCCAAAAACCTAATAGTCTTTACAGAGCGTCGACGAGGCTAATCCACCTGATCTTTCCGACGGAACGGTTCCAAAAAGCGATTCCACATATTCTATTGATATACCTAACTCTATTTCCATATGGAAGGTTAATCCAAGGCCTATCCAAAGCGCAGATGTAGGTAATTTCATAAATCAATAAATCAAGTATTCATTTTTATATTTTTCAAGTACTACCAGTTCACGGACTTTGCTATGTCTTTGAATGAAATAGAATCTGGAATGGCCACATCACTCTGCAAGACGGATTCTCGATATCGACCAGATATAAGGAAACTTGAGCAAGGTGATATCGATGGAGCAGCTATTGAGAAAACTCGTCTAGAGGAAAAGCAGCGAGATGCTAGCAAGGCACGCAAGAACAAGAAAACCAACGATTGGAATCCAAGGTATGGTATTTATTTATGTAAAACCATGGACCAGAGAGTTGACTCTCCGGATAATAGCAATCCCCTAATGATGTTATTATTAAGAAATTAAGAAAAAATATAGGAACATTGACTTAATGAATTTAATATTAACAATGAAGTTACTTACCTACTGAAATAAAATAGCAGTAATTCAAGTAACATCTAATTGTCCTGTTCACGATAGATAGTATTTTGTCCATAATTTCTTTAAATCGTGTTAAAAAACCTATTGAAAACCGTGTAAAGAATCAAGGAATATAATTCAACAAACATATATTAAAAAAATGAATCAAAATTTATCATTGAATAAGTTGATAGTAATATATATATTGTTTTACTATTCAAATTTTATATTTTTATATTATGTTTGTTTCTTATTTTAGATGGTTTCAACAAGGGCAGAATCCTTACAACAAACAAGAGGATTGGCTCTACAATGGAGAGTATTGGAAGAGGCAATTCAGCGGCCAAGTGGATATATTTTAAATAGTAGAAAATTGCGGCTATTGTCACTAGATCCAGAAAACATTGTGTAGATTCTTAGAAGAGGGTAAACTTAGTTTAGCCGTCGACAGAAAGAATAGCAGTAGGCCATGGTGGATAATATGGTATAAATCCTTACCAGACATGGTACTTAGTTATATCATGTGCCAACATGCACAGAATTTCCTAGTTAGTCTAAATTTGAATAAGAATAAAGGAAATGTGTAAACATTATACACCAATATTCTAAGATCAGCTTAAGGATAGACCTTTATTGTTAACCAACGCTTATATATAACCATATTGAGCATGGTCAAGGCCTTTACTGGCGCACGAAGAAAAGGAAGAGAACAGCACTAAGTCTTGATTTTCTTTAAATGTAGTAGTGGGCTATAGAAGTTTGCCCAAATATGTATGTGTCTAGCAGAATACTCGTGTTGCAATATGAGTATGCGAAACACTGGCCTCATAAGTGAAATAAACATTTTAAGAATATATGGATAAAAACTTAGGTAGTAAGGAGTTATATTATATATGTATAGTTGGAATATCATATTCAGCTTTAATGGATATGTATGTGGACAAAGTCAATATTTTGGGGAACATGTTAGAACATATTGTTGTTAGATACTATATGGTTTACAAAGCGTGTAAATAATGTGTTTCTATAATTTTTAAAGTTATGTAAAAATATAAAAGATTATTATTGTAACGATATTACAAAGAATTATTTTGCTTAAAGCTCAATAAATATATACTAAGAGTAATAAGTATATGTTTGCATTATTTTTCCTTGTAGTTTAGTTAAAATAGTCATTTTAAAAGAATTCCTACTCGAAACTATTTTAGAATAATTTCCTTTTAAGTGGTAAATATTGAGTCATGTCATTTACAATTGCAATAATTAACTAAGCATTGTTTTAGAATGTATTATGTACATATATTATTATTATTATTTATAACAATAAATAACAGCAAATATTTGAGTGTTTTTTTTTTACATTTTTATAATCAACCCTTTAATGCAATTCCTTATTCTTATATAGTTTCTAATCTAGAAGAGTTCTATACTTGATAATTTCCAAAAATAATCAAAATTGCTCGAAAATAGCGATTTTTTTAAATCATATTCAACTAACAAATCACACGACTTATCATTTACATCAGGAAACCAGGTATACAAGGATATAACCAGGCCAGTATTTAATCAATACAGTGCAAAAACTGATTATTTACAAACATAGTAAAATTGTGTAACAGCTAAGGTTATCGTTTGATTGTATGTGTTCATTCGAATTGAAACGATTATAATAATTGCATAAATGATAACACGGATTCTGATATCAAGTTCGAGCTTTACATTGACACACGATTCATACTCCTGCTATCCTGGTAGAAATGCGAATCGAATCACAATTATGCGTTTACAGAATTCACTAAAATTTATTCAAAAAACGTCTGTAAATTTCTTAATTCTGGACGGATTTTCAAAATTTTAGATTTTTTCAATTCGTATGTCTATTAAAATCCAATTCTCTAGTATCATTTTTAAAATAAATCACACAACCCAAGCAATTTCAATTTTTTCATATTTATATGTGCAGAAATCGATAATTAAATCCATAAAAAAATGAAATAAAACATTGAATTGTTAACAAAAATTGAAAATAGATTTTATGAGTAATTGTTACATAAAAATAAAGGTGTAGTGAATTAAAAAGAGAATAGTAGTTTTTCAATTATATTTGTCTTAATTATTTACATTAATTGCAATTATATAACAATAATTTAACAATAAACTTTTGGTAGTTTATATTATCTTAGAATATAAAAATATTTTATTTAAGGTAGATTGTAAATATAATTAAAGAGCTGTTTGAGTATTTTGGCTAAACCAATTTTGGAGCCAAGAGCAAATACTTTGAACATTACTCTCCATATTCTCAGGTGAAGTACTATTTAATTCATGAACAATTTCATGTTTGTATGAGTTTTTTGCTTCTTCTAATATTGTCTGGAAAATCTCACAATCCACATTATCCTCCAATTTCTTCCCAGTATAACCTCTAAAATAATATAAGTTTAATATTATAAATATAGCATTACTATTTAACAAACCTGGCAATCAGTCTATCATACAATGTTGTATTATCTGTCCTTAGGACAAAAACTATATCAAACCATCTTTCAGGGAAGAATTCAGAACTATGGTAATCCACAATATTCCCACCATGGGACATGGTTTCTTCAAGTCCATCTAACAACTATAATAATAAAATATATTTATTATTTATATTAACTACAAATGTAAGGTATACCTTGTCTTCGTCCAAAACAGGACAATTATAGACTGCATCAAACTCCTCCAAACAATTGTTGTCCTTAGCAACTTTGGATATTTCAATCCATTCCAACCCTGTTACTTCAGCCAATTTAGTGCATAAGGTAGATTTACCAACACCAGGCGTACCTGCAATAAAACTTTAGATATTTATTGTTATTAATTAACTTATTAATTAACCTGTGATCAGAATATTTGGAGCTTTCCTCTTTATAGCCTGCATGTTTACTATGAAATAAAATGTTTTATACACGTGAACGTCCAATGCGCTCTCTTTCGGAAACCGCCTGAAACTTTGTTAATTATAGCATCAAACAGAACAGTCGCTACTAGTTTTTTCCATTCAATTTCCATTTCAATATAGTGAAAAAACCAATCAATTTTATTACAATAAAATATGTATAATATCGTAATAAATATTAAAATACTACTAGAAGCTTCTCTTGTTTATAGTATTACAGATTTTCCTAACTATTTCATGGTGTGCAGAGATGTAGACAACCAAACACTCGAACTTCAGGTTTTAGTCTACACTGGTCTACACCAGACTGCACGTAACAAAGCATTGAGATAGGTTGCGCATGAGTAATTATGATTAGTATTGCAGTGTTTACTAAAACCAATGGTGGTAATTAAGTGATCTCCAATTGGCATATGATATCGGCCCGGTCTATAGTTTAAGCTGATAATGGAAGGAAACAAACGAGGGCGATTAGACTCAAAGCAGCACCATGACAGGAAGTTGTATTTGTCCAAAAGGCCTAGAGGTGGAAGCCCAGGTCCATCATCTAGCAAGAGAAAGGAATGTTGTAAGTGTAGTTTAATATTATACCTTGGTAGCATTTTCACAAATCATTTTTTCAGCAAATGCACTTGTATTGGACAATGGTGGATTTACCATTAAGATTGGTTATTCGAAGGATAATAACATTACGTGAGTGTCTGCTTTAGGAAGATTGTGTAAAATATTTCATGATACTTGTTTTAGTGTTTTACCAAACCACATAATGAAAGCAAAGTCAGAAAGGAAGAGATTCTTCATTGCTGATCAAATTGAGGACTGCAGGGATTTATCTGGACTCTATTATTTGACCCCCCATGATCATGGATACATTTCGAAGTTTGATGTGCAAAAGAATGTATGGGATTATACATTCAACAAATTCCCAGCTGATGATATGCCAGTAATAGTGACACAACCCATTTTTAATTTTAAACATATACAGGAATATATGGACGAAATTTTTTTTGAGGAATATGACGTAAAGACATTGTATAGGACAAATAGTACAGACCTGACATACTATCAGTATATCACAACTAAGAAGGGTATGACTTATATAAATATGCTTGTAATTTTGTTATGCAGTTGGTATGTATTAGTTGTGGTTGTAGAATATAGTTGTAAATGTTTGTAGAATATATAGAATTGTATTTAATAAATTGTAATTGAAAGTCACTGTTTAAGGACAACATACATCTTGCATTATTGTGGATTCTGGATACAGTTTTACGCATATCGTTCCATATGTTAATGGAAAGAAATATACAAATGGCATTATTCGTATGGACATTGGGGGAAAATTATTGACGAACTATTTGAAAGATATCTTGTCCTACAGACAGCTCCACGTAATGGAAGAAACGTACGTCATAAACCAGTTGAAAGAGGACACTTGCTACATGGCTTTGGATTTCAAGAAGGAAATGCAGACCGCCAAGACTACAAATGACATAGTTAAAAACTACGTGTTACCGGACTTTCATAACATTCGTAGAGGATACGTTCATGAGGGTGAAGTGGATAGTCAATTAGCTGAAAATTTTCAGATTTTACGTATCAACAACGAGAGGATTTCTGTACCGGAAGTATTAATGAAACCATCAATTATACCCGGTATAGAACAAGCAGGTTTAGCTCAATGTATAGCCAAAAGCATCGCAAAGTGCCCAACGAAGTACAGGCAGCAGATGGCTGACAACATTATACTTGTCGGTGGCAACACAAATTTCCCCGGGTTTAAGGAGAGAGTAGAAACGGAAACAAGAATGTTTCTACCTAGTCACCACAGGATGACGGTATTTAAACCAGAAGAGTAAGTTAATTGATTTTCATTTATGAGTTGTTTGTGTATGTTTGTAAATGTTTTTAGACCAATAAAATACTCGGTGCTTGGTGGAAAGAGCTTCTCTAAGGATCCTCAATTCCGCTCGATGTGCGTGAAGAAACATGAATATGAAGAGCATGGATCTAACTATACTTACAAAAAGTTTAACGAGTTCGTCGAAATCGAGGAAGAACCGCCAAAGAAAACAGAAGAAGCTCCGTTTAGTTACCTAGATCATTGGAAAAAGGAAGGTGTTGACATATTTCAGAAAAACGTTATGAAAGAAGACCCTTCACCCGATGTACAGTTCATACTAGAAGGTGATGACATCGAACAGTATGATGGAAAATACGTGACAATTGAATTTGAGTATGAAAAGAAACAACCACCGAAGGTAGAAATTCCGCCGCCTCCGATTAAACCACCAGACATCAGCCAACTGAAAGTAATTAAAAAGAAGATGATCGTGCCAAATTCGCCGCTCGTTTTAAATTCTAATGCTACAGTAGTCCGGGCAAGTGACCTACAACCGATCAGAGCCCCAACAAAAGTATATCGTCCAGTCTTTAGAACAAAGCCTGAAAATCAGAAGATTACTCAGATTATCAGTATAAACGGTGCGACACCAATGACCAGCGGTCCCCTTATTATACCAAGCACTTCTGGAGGAAAAACCGTATCTTTAGGCTCAGCCCAACTACTCAACAATGCTGTCATCATTCCACAGAATATGTTTGGCTCGAAGAACCTGACTTTGCAATTCAGGCCCATTTTCATGCAGGGTAACAACATTATCATAACCAAGAAGCAGTAAATAAATGTAGGCGTGTATTGTTCTTTCACATATTTATTCTCTTTACTATATAAATGTGCAAAATATAATCGACAGCAGTAATTTATGTACAATATGGGCATTCTTTGATTTCAGAATGTTCTACACCATAGAACATCTATAAATTATATCATATTAATTACAATAAAAAATATATTTATGCATGTATATATATATATATATTTTTAATTAATAAACTTTTCTTTTAATTAAACAGTCTGCTTAAAATCTTAAAATGAATTAATATAAAAATATTTATAAACGAAAACAAACTAATAGAAAACAGCCATTCACTTTTTTTTCTTTTTAATGCCACACAGTATGAACACAAAACAGCCTTCGAACTCTAAAATAACAAAACAAGGGGGAAAAATCATAATGTGATGGCAAATAAATCATTTAACAACTGAAGCAAATGACTCGATTAAAAAAATATAATATTGAAAAACAATACAACGATTTTTTTTCTTTTGAATATTATATTTTTGATAAAAACTTGTGAAACAAGAAGATAAAAAGCAACTGTTTAAACTCATCACGATAGATTATACAATATATAATAGAAGAAAAAAAAAAGAGAAAAATGACTTGGAGTCAATGACATCCTTCTAAAGGACACAAATATAATACGGGTAAGCTTTTTTTCATATTCTTAAATATATGTATGTATTTATACATATATATACACAAAGAAAATGCTAATTTCGTAATAAGAACGAAGTGCCAGAGAAAACGTTCTTCCGGCGACAATTTTCCTCCTCCATATATTTTGTTTCACTTTTAATGTAAGAATATAACGGTAATATATTGCCATTACAATGTTTACATGTTTTTTTTTTATTTTGATTGAATAAAGCTAAATCTAAAGTATAATGGTTGTAATTAGCATGCAGGGTTTGTTTGCTTTGCCAAACGCGATATTACAAAAATAAATTCAATTTTGGCTCGCATGCGAATTCCGATGGAAGGTAAATACACTTCAGCAAACAAACCCCTTTATAAGTTGTTTTTTCTTTTTCCAAAACGAAAACACATTCTTCCTCGACCATACTAAATCACAAAATATATTTATATGTTTATATATATAATTAGACAATTAATAAGAAGAGGAACAAATATAAAAAAAAAATATTCATACATTACAACTATATGTCTACAATAGTTTGAATACACAGAAGAATTCTACAATAGACATTGAGACATGACACATGTGTGTGTTTGGTGAAACAAAAAATAATATTTCGAATTTTTATTTTATCTCTCGCATCCTTCTCTCACTAACTCGATTTCTCCTCTTTCTCTCTCTCTCTCTCTATGCACCACATTTTCTTAGAACTTCAAAATAACAGCACCCAAACGGGTGCAATGAATATAATTAATATTAAATGAAAATATTGGAAGATACTTATAGAAAGATATTAAAAATATGTATAGTATGATATATGGAACAAAATTAAAGACAATTCTTCACTTAGCACACTATCACAGTCATTTATAAAACATTGGTGGTGTTCATGCGATTTATATTATATATATGCATTCATATTTTGTATGTTTTTTCTTTCTAGTTGTTGCTCGTTCCTTATTATATGCATAATATTTTGCAATCAAAATATTATGCTTATAATTGGGCATACAGTAGATTCAAATGAGTCTCGTGGTGCTATAAAATATCAATATTCACATATATATATACACAAATATATATGTATAAATAAGTTACTTTTTTTTTCCAAAATTAAAATCAGTTTCTTCTTCACTTTGAAAAAACGATAAAAATATATATATTATCACATTACTTCATTTGTTTTGCTCACGCGTTGATAGGGTACGTCAGAGTGGTTTTGAGCGACTCGTTGTGGATTTCCAAAGAATTTTGGGAATAGTGAAGCACCAAATTTTTGAGCGAGTCGTAAATATTATACGGCTCCGCAAAGCCGAGACCCTTCTTTGTTTCGTTAATGATGCAGTGATTTACAATGCCGTTGCAGGCAATTGATAATGCATACTGGTTGGTACTAGATTTACGCACGAGGAATGTACCATCGGCTTTACCATATAGCAATTTCTCGGCTTGGGAACGCTGGCAATGCATCATGAGCCACGTCGATTCATCATTGTGTGGTAGATCTTCGAAGTCCTCGACGATAGCTTCGTCCACGTCGCCTACCAACTCCAACAGCTGACTTATCACGGTCTGCTTTACTCCGCCTTGCTTCATCCACTTCTGATACTTGTCACGCTCTTTCCGCAACTCTCGAATGGTCGGCTTCAAAGAAGTCATCTCACGTTCCAAAGTCCTATTGAAGGCTTCGCGAGACTGCAAATTCTCGTCCAGTTGTTCGCAACTCTCTTCCATGGCTTTGAGGCGAGTCTGCAGCAGTTCTGCATTCTGCATGACGGACACGATTTCGTGTGGCTGAGATTCAGCTTTGAATTTTTCGTGGAGCTTCGTGTGCTTTTTAAACACCTTCACTAATTCCTTCAAGGCGCTAAGCGACTGGCGCTTGCTAGTAACTTCCTGACGCGTGGTACTCGCAGTCTCGGATATGCTTTGGAACATTTGGTTTTTCTTCACTAATTTCTTGTTGATCGCTAAGAAGCACTGCTTCAATTTCTCCACGTTCTCCGTACACTCTTCCTCCTGATTGTATTTAGATACTGGATGCAGAAGTTTGATGTCGAGAGAGACGTTGTATTGGGACAGCGAGTCGTTGCGGTAGTGATTGATGAGTTCCACCACGGAATTGAAAGTATATGGTTCCGTAAAACCATAATTCCCGTTTCGATGGCAAATTTTGATCAACTTATTAGCTCCACCCTTCCTGAGTGTCAGAGTGTACTCTCCAGATTTGTTGGAAGCATCTCGTACAAGGAAGGTTCCGTCACAGGTATCGTCCAACTTTTCCGTAACTTCGTCGCGTTTAATATCTCCCCAATACCACTCCGCATCCTGAAGAGACGTCGTCAATGGTTTCTCCTTCTCCGTCCCGACTGTATGGCTGCTACTATTCCTGGAGACTTTCCTTGGTGGAATTGCAGGCGCCGCAGCAAACTCTGGTAGCTTAATACCCCAATCACAATGAAGCAATAATATCTCCACAATACGGTTGTGAGATTGAGTGTTATAAACAACTTGTCTGAAATATAGAGGTTACAGTTAAGGTTTCTTTATGTGAAGTATTTAATTATCACTTACATAATTCGCTCCCACGGAGGTCTGAGGAAGATGTGGCACATAACTTGAACAAGTACGGTAGGAGGGTTCTTGTTCCCCCTCGTGTGTTCCATTTGGCACATTCTGCAGAGATGCGCCATCACAAATTGGAGAGTGCTGCGATGGCTTTCTGGAATCTCCTGAACATAGCTGTTCAACATTGTGGCGCATTGTTCGTCGTTGCGTATTTCTACAAATTGGAAAAACTTAATAAATCGGCAATGGTTATATAAATATCTGGAAACTTACTAGCTGCGTCCAAAAATTGATCATACCACTGAACAGGTATTATGGGATCTGGCAACTCCCTCAGGAAATTCTTGAAAACATTTGCAATACACACTGGAGTGTAGAGCGTCAGATCTACATTACTTGATTCGTTCAGACTTTGCCTTAGCTCGCTGACTTGCTCACTAGGAGCTGACTCTGAATACAAGCTGTACAACTCTAAAGAACTGTTTGCTGCAGCCCTTGCCTCCAGTTCTTCGGCACATTTAACAACCTAAAGCGAAATATTCATTAATATTGCTATTTAATATTAATAACAGCAGAGCAAAACTTACGATGTCCGGAGCGGCTGTTTCCGATGGATTAAATAATGCGCAAAGGCTTTGACCAAAAGTTCCAATAAGCTTGGTACATTTCGGTTTGCACGTGGATAAGCCCGTTGCAGCGCAGGTTCGATGAGCCACGATACCGCAATCTTGAAAAATCAATGAATATTTGAATTAGTCCGTGTTACAGCGTTAGTTACAATTCTCATTACCATTACAGACGAACCCCTGGTGGAGGATACCCCTCAAGTATTTATTGCATTTGCTGCACTTCTGCAAAGTACTGAAGCTCTGCTGGATCAATTTATGGGCATATTCGTCCTTATAGTTGCATTGGTCATTGGACATGTTTGAGTTCTCAGAAGAAATCAATTCATTGATGCTATGCAGGATCGCTTTCTGGTGGAACTCGTCTTTCACACCCATGATCTGTTTCGGAAAGAAGACGGTTAGACACACACCCTAACAACTTCTCGACATTAGAGTAGAAATATTGGAAAACAAAAATACCATCAATTTTTCTTTATCCATATTTAGCAGGTCGGATCCGCAGACGTCTTTGCACCGGAAAAGATCGGAATATGGGTACAAATTGACCGCGGCCATCCATTCTACTACCGTTGGTGACGTCCACTCTGATACGGGCTGTAACAAAATAATGTTCTAATAAAAATACAGTTTACTATATGTAATTTCTTGTTTATTACTAATACAATTTGAGTTAAGCCTTTTGTATTCTACAATAAATATTGTTTATTATTTTATTATTAATGCAAATATTCCTATAAAAGAATATACTTTTGTTTTCAATTAACCAAGTGATTTATTTCAAAATTTGTTAACAGACATTTTGCTGTTTAGAATTATAAATTAAAGAAAAAATTCAACTTTTCGTATTTTAATTATTAAAAAATGGTTTAATAATTTTTTAAATATTTGAAAAGTTCTCTAATTTAGAATAAAATTAGAAGTATATCTTGATTCGCTAAATGTGGCTTTGTGGCTATTACATAGTAAAGCAGGAAATGAGCACGTGGTTTGAAGGTAGAGAAATATGGTTATATCTTTTTTCATTAATTCGACGATATGAATGAAATAACTTAATGGATTGGATGTCTCTCTATTATTTTTTTCGCTTTTTGATATATGTATATTTTTTCGTGTTGAATAAAATGTAAAAGAGAATGCTATTGGAGGGTCTCGGTGAGGCCCGTTGTGGACGCTGCCGGGTTAAGAGGATAAAAAGCCTTGAGTTTATATGTTGCAGGTGTAGCAACAATTTGTAGAATGTAATGCGCGACTTTTCGAGATAGCTTCGTTTGATGATTACGAGCAGAGCGCGTTCCGTCTCTGTTGCTCTTCGAGAGTTTTCATAAATTTCGATCATACTGCTCGATAAATGTAATTGTCGGTGTCCTTGGCAGAAAACTTGCCGTTTGTAAATACGGAGGCGGGGCGCGCGCTCGTTTCGTAGTAAGTTAGTAAATAACATGATGCTAGCAAGTTGGTAAAAAGTAGTAGTAGGAGAGCACGTGGTCCAACCCCCACGGATGAATCATCGAGGGGGAATGAATGGTCGGCATTGGGCCTGGGGGCGGGAACATGCGGGACCACGTGCATCCAAGTTTTGAGACCACTGGTATTATCCGGAGGTTCGCTACCGAGAGGTTAGGATAGCCCATGCTTCCATCAAAAGTCGACAGAGAGCGTAAGTTTAGGTCGTTAGCACATAGCAACGTTGAGACGAGTCGCGATTGGTCGAACGGTCGCCTATCACAACGTGGCTGGTAACTACGAGTACATAATCGACAAGGAACTGATACGGTACCAACTGAACTATTCCTATCCAGTTTTCCGCACGCACAAAATCCTAATGTTTCCCCAAAAAAACAAGAAAACTTTAACAATAATTAAAAGCACTTTCATGTAATTGGATCGCCGGAGGGGACGGACTTAAGCCGCCAATCAAACGCGTTCCTCGACGACCAACTTCAATATTAAAGGCATCATCTAACCAGAAAATGGGTTGAAGATGATGCATGGCGAATTGAAACGACAAAGAAAACAATAAATACCGCACGCCAAAAAAGCCACTATAAATAATGAGCGGCCAAGCATGGATTAGAGGTCTTAGACATCAACAGCTCGCGTCGCGATATTACACAACCGATTCACTTCGAATCGACACAAGAGAGCAGTAGTAGAACAAGAACCGAAAAGGAGTCGAATCGAAAAGAAGTCGCTGAAAACGGGAGAAAATGCGAGGCTCTGCGTGCCGTGAGGCTGCGACTGAAACGAGAGCAACAACGAATATGAAATCGGTATCATAAATGAACATTAACAATTTAGATAACGGGTTTTAAACCGGTAACCTTGCACGTACATAAATATGTAAAGTGCGATTTGATTTACGTTAAAATCTAATGCCGAGCGTTTAATTGCTAATTTATTCGGCGACCGAGGAAACCTCCGAAAAGCGGTATTTATATGTGAAAGAGCGAGAGAGGTACGTGATGAGGAGAGATAGAAAGGCATAGCCTCGACGGAATGGAGGAAGTATCGCTCTAGGGAATTGGGCTCCCTAGGCCAGGGCAGAAGAAGCTGTTCTTAGACAGCTTTCCTCAACGGCGATTGCATTGAGGCGGTCCCCGACTTGGAACATGAAGAGATAGCCTTTAATTAAGTTTAAAAATAATACGCATTATAACGTGCGCACGCTTACAAAACTAGGCTATACTTTCATTTTCATATTCGCACAGAGCACATGGCTTTGGTAAGAGAGAGAACTGTGTTGTCCCGAAAACAGCAATCCTCTGGAGGGGAAAACGCACACGCACCGTTCACACTCCGCGAGTGGAAATCAATCTAATCCAGTTTGATTTTCTTTTCCAATTATTGCTAGTATTATTTTTTTTATTACTATTATTATTTCATTTCATGTTTTTTTACATATCTAAGTTACTGGCATTAATATAGGTCAAACAGTCGTGGAGCTGTGTGACTAACTTGAAACTATAAGTGAATTCGTTTGACCCCAGTTTTATATTATTTCGTAAAGTTTCTAAGGTCTCGATTTTTATATGCAAATCACACAATCTCTCAAGGAGACAAGCGTCGCCAGCCGCACACAGACTAGTCAAGCCACAGTCGAAAAATGTAGGAAGCCGACGCAGACTAATATGCTTTTATATATTATATATACAATTCAATAAATTCCTCCTAGTTCTACTTCATGATCAGCCATTATTGACAAGGAAGTACAGGACTGTATTTGAATTCACAACTTGTTTAACTTCCGAAAGATTGAACAAACCTATTAAACTTTTCTAAATTCTATTTAAGCTCGGGGCTCTTTCATTATATTATATTAAATATCTCTAGGTACATAAACATATGTGTATTATCAGTCTTTATCGGTAAGGAAGTACTGGACCGAATCGTTAACAACTTTAATTCACACTTCCTTTTCCTCCGAAACGTACATTTGCAGAAACACTGCTAAAACATAAACCAGATTATTAAAAACAAAATATTTTCAGAACTCGGTATCATTACAATATTCCACCTAGTTCACAGTTTAAAACTTCCTTTCTGGAAGGAATGCTACAAATGTAATAATCGATTTTTGTTTGGGGCTATTTTTCTAAATTCTCTTTAAACCAGCAGGTCTATTACAATTACTCCGTATGCAAAGGCTTCTCTTCCAACAAAACGTTTGCGTTTTACTGCGAGAACCATTCCATTCGTTCTGAATAGCAAGAATTCCATTGAATTTAAATACGCATTTCTCATGCACTTACTATTATCAATTCCATTTGATACACACTTCCGATTTTGGTATTTGTTGAATCCGGCGCTTCATTTAAATTCGAATTTATTAAAATAAAATCTATACTATCAGTATCACTATCACTTCCGATTTTAACATCAGTTGATAACTGAGTTTTTAGCTACAATCGCAAAAAAAAATATACAAATCAACACCAAGACTACCTCACTTAGCACTATAGTATTATCAGTTTGTTATCAATAGCTATCTGATAGTAGTTCACTTTAGATTTGGACATAAGTCATCCATTTAAAAAAAATATAAACTGTGCTATAAATAGAATCTCGCAAAAGAAAAATTTCTAGCAACGATAAAGATTACCTATACAGTATTTTTCTTCTTAGTTTTAGAGTTGATTATAAGTTTGTTATATCATTTTTCTAATTTTTTGATCAAATATAACAAAAAAAACTAAACTTTTAATGTTGTATGAAGGTACCATACATTGTTTTCAACGTATAGAATTCATTAACAGATGAAGAGTAAAGAGGGAAGCAACAAATCAACTAGTACTATGGTAGTATAATGTTGGTAACAATCAGCACAGAAGTATGCCATAAACCAACGGTTGCTTTATTACCATCAGAATCAAAAGACAAGTAAATGCATGATAATCAACAATTTCTCGTATCTCGAAAGGCACAAAAGTATAATGCAAAGAAAATTTAGCAGTGGAAGTGATTGGTTCCGGATATTTAATCTCCAACGTGACGTGAGGTGACGTTTTCACGATGTGGCCGAAGAGCAATACTGCGATATCGGCCCGGAAATCGTTATCACAGCTAATAAAATGGACCTTACGTAATCGCGGCGCAATTTCGCTTATCATCCTCGTGGAATTTTGCATATTGCATTTCAAGACATTATATCATAATAGTAACGTAACGTAGTGCTTGCTATTAACATGTAATCTGATAATAACCATCGTCCTGTAAATTCAGACAAGTCCTGTCAATACCGAATGGTAGAATGACACGCACACGAATGGTAGAATGAGGCACGTGCTCACGATTTCCTTTTCTATTAGTCGATTATTATTTTTAACACTATTTTGTGTGTGATTTGTTTTAGTTGAATTTCTGCCCCTCGGTAATGTAACTCGCGTATGGCTGCAATTGACGTGTGTTCAGAGATTAAGGCAATCGTATTTTTGAATGAGAGAAAAATAAACACCTATCACGTTGTAAATATTCCTAGTTTCAATCACGTTCTGCATCCCTGGATAACATGTTTACCCGTGATACAGGATTCACGTCTGTCCAAGGTTTAGGTTTCATTCGACCGAAGTAATTGGAAGCGACGCAGAGTTTGGGGTTGATTTGGGATGGCTATTTCCAGAAAGTGCGTTGAGCAAAGTTGTTATTGCGACAAATTAATGTCATTAATTGGGTTGGGATTTGCGCAAGGTTATCACTTAGATGATTGTGCTGATGCTGGTGAGAATGTCTGAGAATATAGTGGAATTGGGTTTGAAGGGTGGACGTATCAGATTTGGAATGGTTGGATGAAAGTATGGATTTACGGCTGGATGGATGAATGGTTGGATGGATGGATGGATGGATGGATGGAAGGAAAGTAGGAAAGGAACGAGTAGCATTGTGTCAGAGCGTCGAGCAATTACTTAGGGTGCGGTACAGTCCCATCGGCGATGGCCTTGGCTCCAACGCGGAGCTCGAGGCGACCGCCAAATATAATTCAATGCTGCTGCGAGTGTTAAAAATATCGTGAAATATTTTATTTATACACAATACATATTTCGTTGCGGTCATCCGCCACGCGGAAGGCATTGCCAGAGCAGTGGTCTACCAAAAATAAC